CAGAGGAACAGGGGAAGCAGAGAATCACGATGAAAACAATGAGTCTGAGGCTGAAAGTGAAGAAGAAGCCGAGAATGTGCAATCTCAGCCTTCTTTGCGAGAACCATCAACAAGACCAAAGAAAAGGCCAAGTTATCTTGCGGATTATGTGTTATTAGCTGAGATTGAAGGGGAGAGATTGCTTCTTCAAGTTAACGAAGAACCATGGGATTTTAGTGAAGCCTCAGAGTTAAGAGAGTGGAGAGAAACTTGTGACGAAGAGATTTCATCAATTTCTAAGAATAAAACATGGAGCTTGGAGAAACTTCCAAATGGAGTCAAACCAATCGGGTTAAAGTGGGTATTCAAGATAAAGAGGAACTCCGATGGAAGTATAAACAAGTACAAGGCGAGGTTAGTGGCTAAAGGCTACGTACAAAGACACGGCATAGATTTTGATGAAGTGTTCGCTCCGGTTGCTCGTATTGAGACGATAAGATTCATTCTTGCTCTTGCGGCTTCCAATGGATGGGAAGTGCACCATCTAGATGTAAAAACAGCATTCCTTCATGGAGAATTGCAAGAAGAGGTGTATGTGACACAACCTGAGGGATTTGTTGTCAAGGGAAGTGAAGACAAGGTGTACAAACTACATAAAGCACTTTACGGTCTAAAGCAAGCCCCGAGGGCATGGAATAACAAGCTTAATAAAATTCTTAAGGAATTGAGCTTCACGAAGTGTTCCAAAGAAGCTTCTCTATACCGTAAGCAAGAGAATGAGCATCTTCTGTTGGTGGCCGTTTATGTAGACGACCTACTAGTTACGGGTTCAAGTCTAGATGCAATCTTGGAGTTCAAGAAAGGGATGGCAACAAAGTTTGAAATGAGCGACCTTGGGAAATTAACCTATTATCTTGGTATTGAAGTACTGCAACTTGAGAATGGAATTGTGTTGAAGCAAGAAAGGTATGCATCCAAGATTCTAGAAGAAACCAGAATGAATAACTGCAATGCGGTGAAGGTACCAATGGACTCGGGTTTAAAGTTATCTAAGGCACCACAAGAGGAGAATATCGATGAGAAGGAGTATAGAAGAATCATAGGGTGTCTACGTTATTTGCTTCACACAAGACCCGATCTATCTTATTGTGTTGGTGTGTTAAGTAGGTACATGCAACAACCTAAGGAGTCTCACGGAGCTGCACTCAAACAAATACTTAGGTACCTGCGAGGAACTCTTGCTCTTGGTTTGTTCTTTACTCGTGGAGAGAAGACAAAGCTTGTGGGCTATAGCGATAGCAGCCACAATATAGATGAAGATGATGGGAGGAGCACAACAGGACATGTGTTCTACCTTGAGAACTGTCCAATTACTTGGTGTACAAAGAAACAAGACACGGTGGCGTTATCATCGTGCGAGGCAGAATTCATGGCCGCAACGGAAGCTTCTAAACAGGCACTTTGGCTTCAAGAATTGCTCGTAGAAGTCACTGGAGGCTCATGTGAGAAGGTGACGCTTCTTATTGACAACAAATCAGCCATTGCACTTGCAAAGAACCCGGTGTTCCACGGAAGAAGTAAACACATCAACAAGAGATATCATTTTATAAGAGAATGTGTCGAGAATGAACAAATTGAAGTTGAGCATGTTGCCGGAGAGGAGCAACGAGCTGATATCCTAACTAAGGCGCTTGGTAGGATTAGATTCAAGGAGATGAGAGAGCTCATTGGTGTTCAAGATGTTTCGGAAGAAGGGTTCAAACTTAGGAGGGAAAATGTTGAGATAAGTTTGAAGAAAGCTTGAGAAATAAGCTAAAGATAAATATGTAATATTCTAGGAGTTATCTAGAATAAAGGAAATTATCCAATTCCTAAGTGTGTTAGGAAAAGGAAAAGGGTTTTGCTATATATATGAGATGCCTAGGTTGTGGTATTCCATAAGAGAGATTAAGAGATTTGTAAGACCTTTAGTTTTGAGTAAGTTTCTAAAGGAATAAGAGAGAAGTCTTTTTAATCTTGTGTTCTTAACCTAGTTCTTAATTCAATAAGGTCAACGAAGAAGGGAGAATAGTACTAAAGGCACCAGATGAATCAAAGAGGCGCTACTTCCGTTTATTTATATGGGAGGTGGAAGATTTGCATCGTGAAGCAGATGAGAAATACCCACTCTGGAAATCTACCAATCACTTGGCCCGATCTTTGTTCCTACTAGAGAAAGCTCAGGATTATGTTCAGCTTTGGGACAAGTGGAGGAAGGGCCAATTTTTTGCCGGAAACCCATACGGTGACTTGCGGAACAATGTTCAAGGGGACTTATGGCCTAAACACTATGATTACTGTCGTCAATCTGAGGGCACAAATCTCTTGACTTACTTGATGTATGATTTTTGTCGTCAATCTGAGGGTGCAAATCTCCTCAAGTACATGACCTATGGCCTTAGTCCAGAAGCTTATGGTTTAATTCCTTAATTTTTCTTTTTAGTCCTTATTTTCCAATTAATTTTGTTCCTTTTCTTTTACTTTTTTTTAGTATTTATTTTATTTCCAAAGTTTCTTGTATTGAGGAAGAGACAATATTTTAAGAATAAAATAAACAAAAATACTAAACTAATTGTGATCGGAGAATAGGAATTGTATGTTCGGTAAACAAGAACAATTTTCATAACTTATTTTCCTTCATGAATATTTAAGAAAGAAATCACAAGTGCACCATAATTTATTTATGCAACCCTTATGAGCTAGGGGTTGGATTGATATTTAAAAGTGATTTGAGATAATTAATAATAAGTAAGATTTAGTCAAAGATTTATTGTTATCAAAAAATATTATTATATTCAGTTAAGATATATAAGCTACTAACAAGTTTTAGTGAAGATACTTTAGTAATTTAATACTTTAAATAATAGTTTTCAAAGGAAATTTAAAAGACTATATTGCTCAAAAATAAATAATAATTAATGTAGGGTATTTATCCAAATTTAATATTTAAAATTTTAATTTGTGAATGGATAATATTACTGAAGAAGCAAATTGTGAAATATCTACAACAAATGTTGCATATGCCAGTACTCGCATAATTAAACTTGAAAATTTGTATATGCCAGTACTCGCATAATTAAACAACATCTCAAAAGTAATTAATGAATTTTCTACAACAAATGTTGCATATTTGAAAGAATGAATATGCAAAGGAGATCATTGAAAGTGATACAAAGAAGCTTAATACAAATTCAAATCTATATGCAGTTAAAGCCTCAAACAATGACGATGATTGCATTTACATCCTAGACAACTCTATCTTTCTTCTTACCCAAGCTATCTAATTTTAATCCTCTGTTTCCGGAATTTTATTTCCATAATTTCTTTCGTTTGATCAACAAAGATAATGATTTCCTACTTCTCACGTTTAGATATTCTATACATGAAAGTAGTTTTTTTCTTTTAAAAACTTATAAATAACCAAAACCTAACTTTGAACAATAAAAAAAGCAAACACTAAAAGTAGTTTGGAAAATCAAAACTTGCTGTAGAAAATTCAACATTTATCCTTTCATCATAATTAATAATTTTAAACATATTTAACAAATACATTTAATATAAACTTATATTTATATGAAAGTCTTACAAATTTTATGTATGAATAATTCTTAAAATAATATAAGGATAACACATCATCTTCTAAAAATTACAATTTTGATATTGTAAATAAACAAGTTTTGCTTTAATGTCATAACCTAAATTATAACCTTGGATAGCCACAGCTCCGATGATGATTTCTTCATCTTTTGCAGAATTCTCTTTGATCTTCAAGCATAGAGTTCCGAAGGTATCTGATATGAATAAATTTTGGGCATCCACACTCAATTCTGCTCCTCAGCAAATATGAAACCAATATCAACATCTTATGGTATTTAATATGACGATTAAAAAGAGAGAAACAAGTCTATTTATCCTTGGAATTGTTAATGACGCTTTTTTATTTATTTTTCAAACTTATAAAACTATGAATTATAGCATTAGAAATCATAAAAAAAACCATGTAACTGTATTGCTTATGAGTCAATCAAAGTATATATTTATTCATGTTGTAGCTTTCACTATTGATCTTATCACTTTCTTTCTTAAAAAATCTTTGCATTCTCATAACTATACCAATCTTGTTTCTCTCTAACGTTTTCCACACGATTGACGTGTTTAACAAGAAATCCAAGTCTTACCTTCATGATCAGGAGGAGCTTGAAGGTCAGGAAACCAAAGCCAACCTACATGAAGAAGAAGAGGGTTTGATAGAGATCTCTCTGGTGATAGAAGCAAAGGAAGAGAAGTTGGAGAGAATGAAGAAACGTCGGATGAGTAGAGAAGAGTATTACGAGGAGATGATGATCATGGAGATATGGGAGGAAATGGAAGCAGAAGATAACTTGATTGACATCTCCATCGGATCAATTGTTTGACATTAAAAATGATAATTCTAGCTGTTTATCCGAACATATTTCATGTTTCTTTTTCAAAATTTTGGTCATGCAAACAAATGATCTCGTATTAAATTATTGCGTTTCACGTTGACAAAAACATATGTTAGATGGCTTAGTTAATTAGTCGTAGCAGTTTCGACTTCCTCTCTATTGGCTAAAAACGCATCAATCAAATCCGATGCTTTGTGAGTCACAGCGACTGTGTTCTCCTCTCTTCTCTGAGTCTCGCCTTGTGGGTCCGGTCTTGTTCTTGATTTGACACCAACTGTTTCAGCTTGGTCAGAGAATAGGATCTTTGAGATGTTTGAGCTGCAAATTTCTTTGTAAGCTTCGTAGTCTGCAGCTCCAGTGTTTCCTCCTTCGAGGATCTTGGATAGAGGGTGAAGAACCGAAACTGGACCGTCGCTTGACTCCAGCTGCCGCTTGAGCGTTAAGAAGTCCCAGACGAGTTCTGAATTCTTAAACAAGACAAAAACCGCAGAGTCGTCCACGTGGTAGACAGAGGTGACAGAAGCAGAGCCAAAGGCTTTGCATATGCATTCTTTGATCTCTCTAGCCTTAAGTTTTCGTGGGAAGTTCCAGATGAGGACAATGTTCTCGTATTTGAACTTTGAGACTCGCCAGTTATCTGCATTACTATGGCCTGTTCGAAGGTTGATGATATCACCTCTTGTCCAGCTGAGATAAAGACGGTTGATGTACTTTTCAAGTTTCTCGTTCTGGGCAAAGTTATCTAATTGCGAATGCTGTTTGAAGTCGAAACCGAGATGATTGCATGCCTGCGCAAAGATGCAACCTGTCATGAAAGCATCATAACCAGCTTCGTGCTTTCCTCCTGCATTCCAGTTAGAACACCTGGAACAGAGAAAACATACGTTAAATACAGTATAAATCAGAAAACAGTCAAGTGTTCATGCCAAGAATAGGGAGGAACAAACCTAACGTTGTCTATCTCAACATCAATATTGACACGCTGCTGAAGAAACGAGTCAGAGCTTCTTGAAGAAAACTCGATTTGCGGACATAACGAGGAAAACGCAGAAGATAGTGATGTACTGGACTTTTTCATCCGCTGATGCAACATTGGATTCACGTTTAAGAGTATTTTGGTGTCAACAATGTAAGGAAAGTGACTGTTAATGGAGGCGACGAATTTCTCAGCTGTTGAAGGAAGAGGACCCACAAATTTGCTGTATACATGTGCAATATCTGTGTCAGATGAAAGAAATGGTTAGAGCAAGGCATCTTTAAGTTACAAAACCATCATAGACATAGAGAGAAGCAACTTGCTAGCATACCGAGGAAACAATTGTGACCAACAATCAACTTTTTCTCTGAAGCAAGCAGATCAATCACTTGACGGAACCCGATTGCAGATTGTATTTTTCTTTCCGCCAATCTCTTGCGTTCATCCTTTGCCTCCTTCTGTGAAAAGACACAGTAATGATATCTAAATCAGAGAAGCTTTTAACTAGAAGGATCAGTTACTACCACTATAGCTACATCAACTCTTGAGCCTGAACTTTGCTATCATCAAATAACTCACTTCAACACTCTCAGTTAAGATCCAAAGGACATGTATCATATAGTAAAAAATCTTTCCAGTAACGTAAATGCTACCTTACCATGAGATTTTCCTTGTCGGATTCTGAATCAGTATACACAACAAAGCCTTGTGAACAGGAATCTTTATCATTTGAATGTATGTAAACAAGATCTCCAAAATGCTTTCCTAAAACCTACAAAGCCAAATCCAAAACCAACTGATTAAAAAAATAAATAGTCTGAAGAAAAGTTGTAAAACAGAGATAAAAAAAAGAAGAGTATTACCGAGTTAAGAACTCTGAGCTGATGAGAAGTGAAACCCTTCAGACTGAGAGCTGGACGCATATGGTGAAACACAGTTTCCATACTCTGAGTCGAACCATTTGAGATCCTCGGAAACTCAGAGGACGCATTCCCACCATGTAACAGGCCAGAGCGCCATTCATTCAGCATTTTCTCCATCCTTACAGCGAAAAGAGTATCTGCCAAACGCACCAACTTTAAATCTTCAGTTTCACCGGATGAAACAATTCCCTCCTCGCCATGTAGCATTTCCAAACGCTTACTTGCCTCTTCCTCTTGTCGTCTGGACAAATAAGATATTCCTGGGATTATTTAAATATGTGAATTCCTCGGGGACTATACCAAACTTGATTGCTAAACTTTTTTTTCTCTTCAGGATCAAACATGAAAAGGAGAAAGGAAGCACCTTCATGTATGCAGGTATTGAAATCAAACTGATACTTGGCAAGAAAATCCATTGATGTTGTCTGACAGAGAAATTCATGAGCTGGTGGATCAAATGTGAGCTCTTGACGAGGAAATACAAAGAAATTGTGCCTGCCCAAAAACGAGACCTTTTTTGTCAAAATCAATCAGAAAAAAGCAACACAATTGAAGCTAAAGAGATTGAGAAAGAGAGACTAACGGGTGAGAAACGAATGACTGAGTTCGAGAATCCCAGCGAAAGGGACAGACACCGAACTGAACGACGGCGAATTTCTCGGCGGAGTCTTTGACTTTGAGGTATCTGACGTCGTAGCGGTCGAACTCTAAGGAGTCACGCCACGGAGCGCTTGTCACACCAGTCATCTCAAGGTCAATCGCCACGAAATCCGCAGCCTTTACGAGTGAACGCAGATCATTCAGTGTCGTCTCGAAGTTCGACCTCGTCACATGCTTTAACGGAAAAGCCGCCGTCGCCGAAGCAGCCGTTGAAGTAGTAACTGTCTCCGCCGCTGAGGAGCTGAAGCTGCAGGCGAGAGGCCTCAAAGGCCATCGCTTGTGCCGGCGCATTTTTGAACGGAGAGGGAGAGAGAGAGAGAATCAAACGACCATTTTTAGGTTTTTGCTCTCGGTGGAAGGAAAGAGGGAAAGATAATTCCGGCGAACGGCACCGTTTTGGGAATTTCAGTCTTTCGAAACTTACACTTGCACAGTCTGCCGTTTCCACGTTATTAAAACTGCAAACAGTTGTCTCTACATTGCTTGAAACAGCGGGATTTGTTTTATTTTTTCCGATGAACAAAAACGAAGCAAATTCGCCACTGCTGCTCCCACACAATGGCTGTTGCAGAAGAGGTTACAGTCTTCGCTGAGACTAACTTGGGAACTAGAATCGTCATGACGGTTCCTCTGGATATCACAGCAGCAGATTTCAAGAGTAAGCTCGAGACCACCCTCTAAAGAAAAACTCTTTTTCCGCACTGATTTCTCTCTCGATTTTGTATTTCCGTAGCTACTGTTTCTATAAAGTTTTGGTCTTTCTCGGTTTCTCAATTTCGAAACTTAGCTTATAGGTTTACTGATAGGATTCTCTAATTTAATCTTTCCGGATGTATAATGTGTTTTGGTCTGTGACGAAACTGATATGCATGCGTATTTTGAGATGAAAATTTTGCTGCTAAGTTTCAAGGTTATGATTCCTATGAAAGAAATGTTCTTTTCACATTATCTTCTCCATCAATAATGTTTAGTCTTATCACACACTTGAAGACCTCCTGCACAGTGCCTTGCTCAGTTCTTTTGAATGTGTATCATTGCACATGTATTGTTGTGTTTCTCTTTTTTTGTCTTGTGCCTTCAAATTGATGTTTGATGATCTTTTGTTTGTGTTACACTAGCTCACTATCTACCTTCTACTATTTTTTATATAAGAATATCAGAACATGTATCAATGCAACATGTTTTGTTTTTGCAGGAAAACTCGAGAAGACTCATGCAATTTGCTTCTCGAATTTAGGGGAGATACAAGTTCATGGTCTGATGGTAATGAAAATGAGCTAGCAATTTCATTTTCTTTCTACACCTTGGATTTTGATTTTGTTATCTCAATCCATTGCAGCAAACGCATTCTAACTTTTCCTTCTCTCCTAGTATAGGTTAAACGAAAGTCTAGCTTTTACTACCTTGTCGAGTCTGTGCCTATAAAGTACATCTTCCGGGATAACCGAAAGCCTTGGTTTATCCATGCAGAAGCTAGAGCTGTAAGCAGATCACAAGAGCTAAGTGTATCTAACAGCATTGATAAAACCCACATTCGACATTGTCCTGGTTCTGATAACTCCATCGAAGGAGTAACTGCGTTGATCCAAGGTAAAAACAAGAAGATAAAGAAATCTCGGGCCAAACCTGATTCCAGAAATCTTGCATCTAGACAACAAACTTGCCTTGACAAGAGAGAGTATCTTGGTCCTTCCACATCTGAACCTGAAACCATAAGATCTTCATCGTCAATAGCAAGAGTTGCTGAGATGAAAAACTCTGAATGTTTGGAAAGCTTCACACCAAAACCGCCAGGGAGGAATCCTGTAGACCCTATAAGCGAAATGATAGGCAAGAAAGTAACAGTGGCTGCAAACAACATCAGAATGCAAGGAAAGACTCATATTTCTTCGTCACTATCATCATCTATTATCAGAAGTAATTCTTGCAGAAACAGATCTTTAGATGGTAAGATAATCACTTCTCTTGCAAAATTTATGGTCTTTGAGGTACCGGATTATGAGGATTGAGTCTTTAATTAAGCTCTCCCATAATGCCTCATAGCATAAGAAGTAGCATTGTGTTGTAGAGGTGCAAGTGATCATGATTCTTTTTGGCAAATATTTTGTGAATGTAAAATAATCCATACGTATATATGAGTAAGTTTTATAATTTTGTTTCTTAAAAGTTATAATCATGAGAAAGAAAGAAAAAAGGCATTAAGAAGTGAAGAAAAGAATCAGAGAATTTGTCTTTAGCTTTTGCTTCTACTCTTTTTCTCAAGGATTCTCTTTGTACTTTCTAATCAAACTCGTTTTAAGAATGCTTTATATAATAAGATAAGATACATATAATTAAGATATATGTATATAAAAAGATGCTTTATATAATAAGATAAGATATATATATAACTATATCAAATTATTTCCAAAGCAAATATTTAATTAACTGTTGCAAGTATACTGCTATGGCAAGATCATAACCAAAAAAAATTTCATATTGATTTGATAATATTTTTATTTAGTCTTCTTAATTGATTTTAATAAATAAATATTATCTCAGTCAATTAATAAAAATAATATTGACTTGTCTAGGAAAAATAAAATAAAAATTGGTAAAAAGACCTAGTTTCAGAAAAAAACCTAGTTTTCTCTCTACCTCTCCGCCGCCGAGACCAAGCCTAGATCTATATCCTGCTTTGCCTCTCCGACGACCGGCTCCGGCCGGCGTCGCGAGAGGGCTTCTTCCCTTTCTTTCCTTTTTCGTTTCCTTCTTGTCTTTGTGTAGATTTCGTAGGCGTCTTCATTCCCCTGTCTCCGGCGGCGATACGGAGGGCTTCAACGGCAGCGACGAGTTGGTGCGGTGAAAGACATCACTGAAAGAGATCTCGGCTCTCCTTCGTTGTGGGACTGGTGATGGTTCGAAGCTCCCTGGTGTCGAATCTGGGGAGCCAACCGAGCCTCTCCGCTTCCTTTGTTCTTCCCGCCAGAATCCTGAGCCGGTCCGAGTACAGTGGGTGAGGCGAGTAGTAGGGTCTAACGGAGGTTGGGGAAGGCGTCGTGGTGCCGGTAGCCGAGATTTGAGACTCCTATCAAAGTCGGGTTCCCGACAGCTCCCTCCAATTCTCTGGTTTCAGTCCGACCAAGAAGCAAGACAACGAGGCATACGCGATGCGGCTTATCCGGAAATGCACCGTGCGGTGAAGGTATACTAATCTGTGCCCCACTCTAATCCTTATGTGATTAGTATTACGAGAATTGCTTAGTATCTCGGAGAAGTCCATGGTTTGCTGGTGTGTTTAGCGTCTCTTTGTCGGTTCAGTCGGACAGTTGGTCCGTTTTTGGTTTTAAGACCGGAACGACGAAACATGGAGAACCAATTCTTCCTGAAAATGCGCCTCATGGTGATGATGCTATTGGGACAAGCACTACATTCTGATCTTAAGGGACTAATAGTTGGGTCTATTTTGTAATTCAGATTAGAGTTGGGTTTTCTCCGTGTCAGTAATTGTTCTCGTGTCATTAGAGTCTTTTTAGGTGGTTTAAGAGATGATTCTATACCGTGTTGTGGTGTGTTTCATCTCGCAGTGGTTGGAAAATACAATGATTTGCGTCGGGTAGCGTTGAACGATGTGTATCTTGACTTGGATAATAAAAAGTTGATGTTGAGAAAAAAAAAAAATAATAATAATAATAAAATAAAAATTGGTAAACCGGCATTGGAACAACATATATCGTCGTGTATAAAAACACAAAGCGCCTTAGCTTCTTAGAAATCTTCTCCACTTCTCTCTCTCTCTCACACACACCGTCTTTCTCTCTCCCTATCAAATCCCTTCTCTTCTTAATACGCGATCCTCTTCAAAACCCTAGTTTCGGATCGCTCCCACACTTTGCGATTATCTCCAGGATCGTCAATTCTTCTCTCTTTCTCTCTTTTCTTCTTCTTCTTCTACTTCTTCTTCTCGTTCGTCTGCCTCACCGATCGCCATCAATCCATAGTATTGGACCAGATCACCCCTCGTTGATAGATTTTACAAGTGATTACTAGTTCTCTCAATCGGTGTGTATTGATCAATCCTCTATCGCGATCAGTGCTTTAGGATATGCCCTGTCTCTAAAATCATGAAGCTTCGTAGGAGAAGGGCTTCGGAAGTGGTGAGTGTTCCTAAACCACGTAATTAAACCCTTTGATCAATTGTATAATTTATCTCTGTCTTTGCATTTGTGTGTTCTATAGTACTCTTTTAGTTTTCTACTACTTGTCTGTTTCTGGTGTTTTGGTGCATGGTTATTGATATGATCTTTCATTGGTATAATGGGGTTTGAGTTCTTAAGCCAAACCTTGGAAGCGTTGGTAAATTGTTTACTTTGATGTTGTACATGTATTGGCTGTGTTAACCCTTGTTTTATTCATTTGTACCAGCCTTCCAAAATTAAATCGTTCATCAATAGTGTTACTTCGGTTCCACTCGAGCTAATACAAGAGCCCCTTGCATGTTTTCGCTGGGAATTTGACAAGGTATGTTTAAAATCCCTGTTTGTGAACCTTTTTTCCATTTTATTCTGTCATACTCTCGTTTTGATGATTGGCGGATTTGTCTTTTATTTAGGGTGACTTCCATCATTGGGTGGACCTCTTCAATCATTTTGACACATTTTTTGAGAAGCACGTCAAAGTAAGGAAGGATCTGCATATTGAGGAAAACTTTGAGGAGTCTGATCCACCTTTCCCAAAGGATGCTGTTCTGCAAGTTCTCCGAGTTATCAGACTTGTTTTAGAGAATTGCACTAACAAACATTTTTACAGTTCTTATGAGGTAAATTTCTGTGCCAGAATCCCCCTAATTATCATTGATATTTGGACGAATCGTTAACTGATGTTTGATTTCTTGTTGTTCCGCTAGATATGTTGCTTTATTTACTGAGATGTCTACCTTCATCATTCTCACACATTTTTTTCTTCATAAATGCAGCAGCATCTTTCTCTCCTACTTGCATCTACTGATGCAGATGTTGTTGAAGCCTGTCTGCAGACGTTGGCTGCCTTTTTGAAAAGGCAAATTGGGAAATACTCCATAAGAGATGCTTCCCTGAATTCAAAACTATTTTCCCTTGCACAAGGCTGGGGGGGGAAAGAGGAAGGCCTTGGCTTGACGTCATGTGCCACAGAAAACAGTTGTGACCAGGTTTCTCTCCAGCTAGGTTGTACTCTTCATTTTGAGTTTTATGCTTCTGATGAATCACCAAGTGAGCTTCCTGGTGGTTTACAAGTTATCCATGTACCTGATGTCAGCATGCGCGCAGAGTCTGACCTGGAACTTCTGAACAAATTAGTCATTGATCACAATGTTCCTCCCAGTTTAAGATTTGCGTTGCTGACCAGATTGAGATTTGCAAGGGCGTTCTCCTCTTTGGCAACCCGGCAGCAGTTTACATGCATTCGCTTATATGCTTTCATTGTTTTGGTTCAAGCAAGTGGTGACACTGAGAATGTTGTTTCTTTCTTTACTGGCGAACCGGAATTTGTAAATGAGTTAGTTACGCTGGTAAGCTATGAGGATTCTGTTCCAGAGAAAATAAGGATACTATGCTTGCTATCCTTGGTTGCACTATCGCAGGATCGAACTCGGCAGCCGACTGTTTTAACTACAGTCACCTCTGGCGGGCATCGTGGTTTGCTATCTAGCTTAATGCAGAAAGCGATTGATTCTGTTATTTGTAATTCTTCCAAGTGGTCTCTTGCTTTTGCGGAAGCCTTGTTATCCCTTGTTACAGTCCTGGTTTCATCATCGTCTGGATGTTCAGCCATGCGAGAAGCTGGTCTTATTCCGACCCTAGTGCCTCTCATCAAAGATACAGATCCCCAGCACTTGCATTTGGTCAGTACCGCTGTGCATGTATTAGAAGCCTTCATGGATTACAGCAATCCAGCTGCTGCTTTGTTCAGAGATTTGGGTGGCTTAGATGATACTATCTTTCGGTTGAAACTGGAAGTCTCTCGTACTGAAGACGATGTGAAAGAAAAAATTTGCAGTTCTGATAGTAGTGGGCCTGATACTGAACAACTTCCCTATTCTGAAGCATTAATTTCGTATCACAGGAGATTGTTGATAAAAGCGTTGTTACGTGCAATATCCCTTGGAACTTATGCTCCTGGTAACACTAACCTCTATGGTTCCGAGGAGAGCTTGTTGCCTGAATGCTTATGCATTATCTTCCGGAGAGCAAAAGATTTCGGGGGTGGAGTATTCTCACTTGCTGCCACTGTCATGAGTGATCTCATTCATAAAGATCCCACTTGTTTCAATGCTTTAGATTCAGCTGGTTTAACTTCTGCCTTTCTTGATGCTATATCTGATGAGGTAATCTGCTCTGCAGAAGCCATAACATGCATTCCACAGTGTCTGGATGCTCTGTGTCTCAACAATAGCGGTCTTCAAGCTGTGAAGGACCGAAATGCCTTGAGATGTTTTGTGAAAATATTTACTTCTCCCTCTTATCTGAGGGCTCTTACTGGTGATACACCTGGTTCTTTGTCAAGTGGGCTTGATGAACTCTTGAGACATCAATCTTCGTTGCGCACTTATGGAGTTGATATGTTCATTGAAATCCTCAATTCCATGTTGATTATTGGATCTGGGATGGAGGCCACCACCTCTAAGTCAGTGGATGTGCCTAGTGGTGCTGCTCCTGTTCCTATGGAAATTGACGTTGATGAGAAGAGCTTGGCAGTTTCGGATGAGGCGGAACCATCTTCTGACACTTCTCCAGCAAACATTGAGCTGTTTCTTCCAGATTGTGTGTGTAATGTTGCTCGTCTCTTTGAAACAGTTCTTCAGAATGCGGAAGTATGTTCCCTGTTTGTTGAGAAGAAAGGAATTGATGCTGTTTTGCAGCTATTCTCTTTACCTCTTATGCCTCTATCAACCTCTCTTGGTCAAAGTTTTTCTGTCGCTTTTAAGAACTTCTCCCCTCAGCATTCAGCTGGCCTAGCAAGGATAGTGTGCTCCTACTTAAGAGAACATCTGAAGAAGACAAATAGCCTTTTGGTTTCCATTGAAGGTACTCAGCTTCTTAAATTAGAGTCTGCGGTCCAGACGAAGATTTTGAGATCTCTTTCCTGCCTAGAAGGCATGTTGTCCCTCTCCAACTTTTTGTTGAAAGCATCCGCTTCAGTTATCTCAGAATTGAGTGCTGCTGATGCTGATGTACTGAAAGAACTTGGTATAACATACAAGCAAACGATTTGGCAGATGGCCTTGTGTAATGATACTAAGGAAGATGAAAAAAAGAGTGTTGATCGAGGATCTGATAATTCAGTTTTAGCATCATCCAGTACTGCTGAAAGAGAGAGTGATGAGGATTCAAGCAATGCTTCAGCAGTTAGATACACAAACCCTGTCTCCATTAGAAGTAGTAGCTCTCAGTCTATTTGGGGTGGGGATCGCGAATTTCTGTCTGTTGTGCGTTCTGGCGAAGGTATTCATGGTCGTACACGCCATGCAATAGCCCGAATGAGGGGTGGGAGAACTCGTCGGCACCTGGAGTCTTTTAATTTTGATTCTGAAATCCCAGCTGATCTACCAGTAACGTCATCTTCCCATGAGCTAAAAAAGAAAAGCACTGAAGTTCTCATTGTTGAAATTTTAAACAAGCTGAATAGTACAGTAAGGTTTTTTTTCACAGCCCTTGTGAAAGGATTTACCTCTGCTAATCGTCGCAGGATTGATGGAGCATCATTGAGTTCAGCATCTAAGACTCTTGGTACTGCCTTGGCTAAAGTATTTCTTGAAGCTCTTAATTTCGAGGGGTATGGTGCTGCTGCTGGGCATGATATATCTCTGTCAGTGAAATGCCGGTACCTTGGAAAAGTGGTAGATGACATCACTTTCCTGACATTTGATACTCGAAGGAGGGTCTGTTTTACAGCTATGGTGAATAGTTTTTATGTCCATGGAACATTTAAGGAACTTCTCACCACATTTGAAGCTACAAGCCAGTTGCTTTGGACAGTGCCGTTTTCTATTCCTGCATCCAGTACTGAGAATGAGAAGCCAGGTGAAAGAAATATATGGTCTCACAGTAAGTGGCTGGTAGATACTCTACAAAACTATTGCCGAGCACTGGACTATTTTGTTAACTCTACATATCTTTTATCTCCAACCTCGCAAACGCAGCTTCTTGTGCAGCCAGCTTCTGTTGGTTTGTCGATTGGACTTTTTCCTGTACCAAGGGAACCTGAGACTTTTGTGCGAAATCTGCAGTCTCAGGTTCTGGATGTCTTACTACCTATATGGAACCACCCTATGTTTCCAGATTGCAATCCTAATTTTGTTGCTTCAGTTACCTCCCTTGTTACCCAGATATACTCTGGTGTTGTGGTTGCTAGGCAAAATCAAACCGGTGTTACCCGGGGAGCAAACCAAAGAGCCTTGCCTCTACAGCCTGACGAAACCATTGTTGGTATGATTGTTGAAATGGGATTTTCAAGGTCAAGGGCTGAAGACGCGTTGCGAAGAGTTGGAGCAAACAGTGTTGAAATGGCTATGGATTGGTTGTTTACCAATCCTGAGGATCCTGTACAGGAAGATGACGAATTGGCTCAAGCACTTGCACTATCTCTTGGAAATTCATCTGAAACTCCAAAACTTGAGGATACAGAAAAGCCTGTAGATGTTCCGCAGGAAGAAGCAGAGCCAAAAGAACCACCTGTTGATGAAGTTATTGCTGCATCAGTGAAATTATTTCAGAGTGATGATTCTATGGCTTTCCCGTTAGTGGATTTGTTTGTGACACTATGTAACCGAAACAAAGGGGAAGATCGGTCAAAAATCGTGTCGTATCTTATTCAGCAACTGAAGCTTGTACAACTTGATTTCTCCAAGGATACTGGTGCTTTGACTATGATACCACACATTTTAGCATTAGTACTCTCAGAAGATGATAACACACGAGAAATTGCTGCACAGGATGGTATCGTGACCGTAGCAATTGGTATCTTGACTGATTTCAACCTTAAGAGTGAATCTGAAACTGAGATTCTGGCTCCAAAATGCATTAGTGCTTTGCTTCTTGTCTTGAGCATGATGCTGCAGGCACAGACAAGACAGTCGTCTGAATATGTGGAAGGAAATCATGGTGGATCTTTAGAGCCGAGCGATTCTCCACAAGACTCAACAGCAGTTTTAAAGGACGCTTTATCTTCAGATGTTGCTAAAGGGGAGTCAAACCAGGCTTTGGAATCGATTTTTGGAAAATCTACAGGCTATCTGACCATGGAAGAGGGTCATAAAGCTTTACTAATCGCCTGTGGCCTCATAAAGCAGCGGGTTCCATCTATGATCATGCAGGCTGTGCTTCAGTTATGTGCCCGTCTAACGAAATCACATGATTTAGCTCTCCAGTTTCTGGAAAATGGAGGCTTATCTTCACTTTTTAATCTTCCGAAAAAATGTTTTTTCCCTGGGTATGATACTGTTGCATCTGTTATTGTACGACATCTTGTTGAAGATCCTCAAACTCTCCAAATTGCTATGGAAACAGAAATACGACAGACCTTGAGTGGGAAGAGACATATAGGTAAGGTATTACCTCGGACATTCCTGACAACAATGGCACCTGTAATTTCAAGAGATCCAGTGGTTTTTATGAAAGCTGTGGCTTCAACTTGTCAGTTAGAGTCATCAGGAGGGAGGGACTTTGTGATATTGTCAAAGGAAAAGGAAAAGCCAAAAGTTTCTAGCAGTGAACACGGATTCTCTATTAATGAACCCCTTGGAATATCTGAAAATAAGCTTCATGATGGGTCAGGAAAATGTTCAAAAAGCCACAGAAGAGTCCCTGCTAACTTCATCCAAGTTATTGATCAGCTTATTGACATTGTCTTGAGTTTTCCTAGGGTGAAGAGGCCGGAAGATGATGAAACCAATTTGATTTCGATGGAGGTTGATGAGCCGACTACTAAAGTGAAGGGTAAATCAAAAGTTGGTGAGCCGGAGAAAGCAGAACTTGGGTCTGAAAAATCTGAAGAATTGGCCAGGGTAACATTTATTTTGAAGTTGCTAAGTGATATTGTTCTCATGTACTTGCATGGTACCAGTGTTATACTGAGACGGGATACAGAAATATCTCAACTTCGAGGATCCAATCTACCTGATGATTCACCTGAAAATGGAGGGTTAATTTACCATGTCATTCATCGATTGCTTCCTATATCTCTCGAAAAGTTTGTTGGACCTGAAGAATGGAAGGAGAAACTGTCTGAAAAGGCTTCCTGGTTTCTGGTTGTTTTGTGCAGTCGTTCTAGTGAAGGGCGTAAAAGAATAATCAATGAGCTTTCGAGGGTATTATCCGTATTTGCTTCCTTGGGAAGGAGTTCTAGTAAAAGTGTTCTATTACCTGACAAAAGAGTTCTTGCTTTTGCTAATCTGGTTTATTCGATCTTGACAAAGAATTCATCTTCAAGCAATTTCCCTGGTTGTGGCTGTTCACCTGACGTTGCGAAGAGCATGATAGACGGGGGAACTATCCAGTGTCTGACCAGCATCCTTCACGTGATTGATCTTGACCACCCTGATGCTCCAAAGCTTGTCACTCTTATTCTTAAGTCTCTTGAGACACTGACGAGAGCTGCCAATGCTGCCGAGCAGCTAAAATCAGAAGTACCAAACGAGAAAAAAAACACAGATTCTGATGAGAGACATGATAGTCATGGAACTTCAATTGAGACTGAAGTTGATGAGCGGAATCAAAATAATAGCAGTCTACAGCAAGTAACAGATGCAGCAGATAATGGACAGGAGCAGCCTCTAGTTCCCTCTCAAAGCGAAGGTGAAAGGGGTTCGAGTCAAACCCAAGCTATGCCTCAGGAGATGAGGATAGAAGGCGATGAGACAATACTGCCTGAACCTATTCAGATGGATTTCATGCGAGAAGAGATTGAAGGTCATCAAATCGAAATGAGCTTTCATGTTGAAAATAGGGCTGACGATGATGTAGATGATGACATGGGCGATGAAGTGGAGGATGATGAAGGAGATGATGAAGATGCAGATTTAGTGGAAGATGGAGCTGGTGTTATGTCTCTTGGTGAAACTGATGTGGAAGACCCTGAAGATACTGGCCTTGGAGATGAATATAATGATGACATGATTGATGAAGATGAGGATGATTTCCACGAGAATCGTGTAATAGAGGTGCGGTGGAGGGAAGCTCTTGATGGGCTGGATCACTTCCAGATTCTTGGGCGATCTGGTGGTGGAAATGGTTTTATTGATGATATTACAGCTGAGCCGTTTGAAGGTGTGAATGTGGACGATCTGTTTGCTCTGCGGAGACCCTTGGGCTTCGAGCGTAGACGTCAAACAGGCAGATCTTCTTTTGATCGATCTGGCTCAGAAGTACATGGTTTTCAGCACCCACTCTTCTCCAGACCTTCACAAACTGGCAATACAGCATCAGTTTCAGCAAGTGCTGGTAGTATATCCAGGCATTCAGAAGCTGGCAGCTATGATGTAGCACAGTTTTACATGTTTGATACACCGGTTCTACCATTTGATCAAGTACCAGTTGATCCTTTCAGTGATCGTTTAGGAGGTGGTGGGGCACCTCCTCCTTTGACTGATTATTCTGTTGTGGGTATGGATTCATCAAGAAGAGGGGTTGGTGATAGTCGGTGGACTGATATAGGTCATCCTCAGCCAAGTAGCCAATCTGCTTCAATTGCCCAGTTGATAGAAGAACATTTTATTTCCTTTATTTCCAACTTGCGTGCTTCTGCTCCAGCAGATACTGTTGTTGAAAGGGAAACTAATACCACAGAAGTCCAAGAGCAGCAGCAGCCGGATGTTCCTCCAACTGTTGGAAGCGAAACCGTTTTGGGTGAAGGTAACGAAGGTGGTCAACAAAGTGAAGAACGTGCACTGTTAAATAACAATGAAAATGTTAATAACCCACCTGATGCAACGGCTGGAAGTTTCTCTCAAGGTCAAGCTAATCTAGCTTCTCCTGTCGTCCGAGATGCAGGTGAAAGTCTGCAGCAGCATGAAGTTATGCAGCCTCTTCCTTTGAACTGTACACCGAATGAGATTGATAGAATGGAAGTTGGGGAAGGTGGTGGAGCACCTATTGAGCAAGCAGACCGTGAAGCAGTGCATCTTATCTCCACTGCTCAGGGTCAACCTGATATTTCCAGTATCCAAAATGTGTCTGTTACCGTGACCCATCCTCCAGTAGATGATCCAAATTCTAATTTTCAACCAAGTGTTGATGTAGATATGAGTAGTGATGCTGCAGAGGGAAATCAAAGTGTGCAACCTTCACCTTTGGACGGTGACAACAATGAGCTCTCATCCATGGAAGCTACACAAGATGTGAGGAATGATGAACAAGTTGATGAAGGTAGCTTGGATGGTAGGGCACCTGAAGTGAATGCCATCGATCCTACATTTCTGGAAGCGCTCCCTGAAGATTTGCGGGCAGAAGTTCTTGCTTCTCAGCAAGCTCAATCCGTCCAGCCTCCAACTTATGAACCACCTCCAGTAGACGACATAGATCCTGAATTTTTAGCTGCGCTTCCCCCAGATATCCAAACAGAAGTTCTTGCTCAACAAAGGGCACAAAGGATGGTACAACAGTCACAAGGACAGCCAGTTGACATGGATAATGCTTCAATTATTGCTACTCTACCTGCTGATTTACGAGAAGAGGTTTGTATCTCTTTATTTGAATTAGGTAATTTTGAATTTTGAAATGTTTATAACAATCTGAAATATGCTATTTTTAGGTTCTCTTGACTTCTTCAGAAGCAGTTTTGGCAGCTTTGCCTTCACCATTACTTGCAGAAGCGCAGATGCTCAGAGACCGAGCAATGAGTCACTATCAAGCTCGTAGTAGTGTTTTTGGAAGTAGCCACAGGCTGAATAATCGGAGGAATGGTTTGGGTTACAATAGACTGACAGGGATGGACAGGGGTGTTGGAGTTACTATTGGTCAGAGAGCTGTTTCAGCTTCTGCAGATGGCTTGAAAGTAAAAGAGATTGAAGGAGACCCTCTTGTGAATGCTGATGCCTTGAAATCACTAATCAGGCTATTACGACTAGCACAGGTAAGAGGCATACTTGTTTTTTTACGTACCCCTTTCTAGCAAATAAATAAATTAATGATTTTGTATCACAAGTACTTTTTTATGCTTCTTTTGCTTCTAACAATGATGTTATTTTAATGTACCAGCCCTTGGGAAAAGGCCTTCTGCAGAGGCTTCTTTTAAATCTATGTGCTCACAGCATTACAAGGGCAAACCTGGTTCAACTTTTACTGGATATGATTAGGCCAGAGATGGAAACATCACCAAGCGAGTTGGCGATAACTAATCCGCAAAGGCTCTATGGCTGTCAATCAAATGTTGTTTATGGTCGATCGCAGCTGTTGAATGGTAGTACTTCCTACCGAAATTCTTTGTTTCCTATTTTCGCCAGCTTCCACACCACCGACTGACTTTCTTTTTTCTTAATAACACAGGTCTTCCTCCTTTAGTGTTCCGTCGGGTGCTTGAGGTTTTGACGTACTTGGCTACGAATCATTCGGCTGTTGCTGACTTGTTGTTTTACTTTGATTCGTCACTTCTATCCCAGTTGTCAAGCCGAAAACCCTCTGTATGTGAAGGCAAGGGTAAAGAGAAAGTTACTCATGTGACAGATTCCCGGGATCTGGAGATACCTCTGGTTGTCTTCCTAAAACTGCTTAGTCGGCCTCAGCTTCTGCAGAGTACATCTCATCTTGCGCTGGTATGTTTAGCATGATTTTCAGAATAGTAGGAATTTTCTCACGGCAATGCCCTGAAAGTTGCTTTGGTTGTTAATTTATCTGTATTGTTTCAGGTCATGGGCTTGCTGCAAGTAGTTGTCTACACAGCAGCGTCCCGAATTGAGGGTTGGTCTCCGTCATCGGGAGTACCTGAGAAATTAGAAAACAAACCTGTCGGTGAAGAAGCTTCAAGTGAAACACGAAAAGATGGTGAATCTGAGCTAGTGGGTGAAGCTGAGCTATCTGTTGCAAGAAGGAAGAACTGTGCTGAAATTTATAACATATTCTTGAAGTTGCCACAGTCTGACCTCTGCAATCTTTGCATTCTTCTTGGATATGAAGGGTAAGAGACACCCTCCTCTCTTTCTTTCTTTGCGTTCCTGAGCTTCCTCTTTCTTCTTATATTTATATATGCAGTAGTCTACACAACATAGGTCTTTTCTTATCCTTGCTCTCAATTATTTCCCTGAATTGCTTTAGACGAACTCACATGTTTTAATACCGTAATAGGTTATCGGATAAAATTTACTCGTTAGCGGGAGAGGTACTGAAAAAGTTGGCTGCCGTAGATGTTGCTCATCGCAAGTTTTTCACGAAAGAACTCTCAGAATTGGCGAGTAGTTTGAGTGCCTCAACTGTCCGTGAGCTGGCAACACTAAGCAGTACACAGAAGATGAGTCACAGTACAGGTTCCATGGCAGGTGCTTCAATTCTCCGTGTTCTGCAAGTGCTTAGCTCACTAACTTCCCCTATTGATGATAGCAATGCGGGAACCGAAAGGGAAACAGAACAGGAGGAACAAAACATTATGCAGAGACTAAACGTGGCATTAGAGCCCTTGTGGCAGGAACTTAGCCAGTGTATCAGCATGACTGAGTTGCAGCTCGATCATACTGCAGCTACATCAAATGTAAACCCCGGAGATCATGTTCTAGGGATCTCTCCTACGTCCTCTCTCTCTCCAGGAACTCAGAGGCTCCTGCCTCTTATTGAGGCTTTCTTTGTTCTTTGTGAGAAGATTCATACTCCGTCAATGTTACAGCAGGATGCAATTGTGACAGCGGGAGAAGTAAAGGAGTCGTCTGCTCATGGTTCCTCATCTAAAACCTGTGTAGATTCTCAGAAAAAAACTGATGGCTCTGTTACATTTTCAAAGTTTGCGGAGAAGCATAGGCGACTTTTGAATTCATTTGTTAGGCAAAATCCAAGTTTGCTGGAGAAGTCCCTTTCAATGATGCTCAAGGCACCAAGGCTGATTGATTTTGACAACAAGAAAGCGTACTTCAGGTCAAGAATAAGGCACCAACATGATCAACATATTTCTGGGCCATTGCGTATTAGTGTCCGCCGAGCTTATGTGTTGGAAGATTCATACAACCAGTTACGCATGCGCTCCCCACAGGATCTGAAGGGACGTCTGAATGTGCAGTTTCAAGGTGAGGAAGGTATTGATGCCGGTGGTCTAACCAGAGAATGGTATCAGTTATTGTCGAGAGTTATATTTGACAAAGGAGCGTTGCTCTTCACTACTGTTGGAAATGATGCCACCTTCCAACCGAATCCCAATTCTGTTTACCAAACTGAGCATCTATCATACTTCAAATTTGTTGGTCGCATGGTAATAAATCAGGACCTTCTCCTTGCAATGACCTGATTGTTTGTTTTTGGTTCTCTCTGATGTGTTTGTGATGTCACTGTAGGTGGCAAAGGCGTTGTTTGATGGGCAGCTTTTGGATGTCTATTTCACTCGTTCCTTCTATAAACACATACTTGGTGTGAAGGTGACCTATCATGATATTGAGGCGGTGGATCCTGATTACTACAAGAATTTGAAGTGGCTATTAGAGGTTTGAGGACCTAGCCTTTATATACCTTAATCTATTACAAAGCTCAAAAATTAAAGTCACGTCCTGCTTTCTGAGACTTATATTTGTCCCTTTTTCTGTTCATTCAGAATGATGTGAGCGACATACTCGACCTCACATTTAGTATGGACGCAGATGAGGAAAAACACATTCTTTACGAAAAGACCGAGGTGTGTGCTGATTGTTTTTTTTTGTTTTGTGTGCTTTATACCAAAGTGCCTACTATATGGAATTGATCATTTTATCTTTGATGAAAAGGTGACGGACTACGAGCTGAAACCTGGTGGACGAAACATACGGGTGACAGAAGAAACAAAACATGAATATGTTGATCTTGTGGCCGGCCACATACTTACCAATGCTATTCGGCCTCAAATCAACGCTTTCCTCGAAGGCTTTAATGAATTGATACCTCGTGAGCTAGTATCAATTTTCAATGATAAAGAGCTTGAGCTCCTAATCAGCGGGTTGCCTGAGATTGATTGTAAGTTGGATTCTATTGTTCAATATTGGTGCATCTATTTTCTTATTCATTAAGTTATAATAACAAACTTGTTATTTGTCTTTTGTTTAGTTGATGATCTAAAAGCTAATACCGAGTATACCAGCTACACGGCAGGATCCCCTGTTATTCATTGGTTCTGGGAGGTTGTCAAAGCTTTTAGCAAAGAAGATATGGCTAGATTTCTCCAATTTGTCACTGGAACATCAAAGGTAAACCAATAGTAGCCAGCTTCTGTCCAAGTCGCTTGAGATTCATTCTCCGATATATATATATGTACTTGTTTTTTTTTATCTGATTGGTTGCTGATCTCAATCTCAATCTCCTTCCTCTCCTTCCCCTTTTGAAACGCTAGAAATTCATGGAAAAGGGAATTTTCATTTGTTTTACAAGCGGTGTTTCTGTTTCCAGGTACCTTTGGAAGGCTTCAAGGCACTGCAAGGTATTTCAGGCCCCCAAAGATTACAAATCCACAAAGCATATGGAGCTCCGGAGCGGCTGCCATCAGCTCATACATGGTTAGAAATCATTACAAAGCCTTTGTCATTTAAACGGATAATTCCCGTCATAATTTTCATTTGTTACATCGATTTGCATGTTCTGTTGCAGTTTTAACCAACTAGACCTCCCTGAGTATCAATCTAAGGAACAACTTCAGGAACGCCTGCTACTTGCAATTCACGAAGCCAGTGAAGGTTTTGGGTTTGCTTGAAGAAAGCTTGTCGCAACCCGTCACCTTAAGAATCAGTGAAAACCCATCATTCTTTTGACTCCTCTGTACATGTAAGCAAGCTTTCATGCTTGTATATTTTTTTAAGATTTACCATAAATTGCTAGTTTGGAACAATTAAATCTCATGATTTTACTTATTTTGTGGCAGATCTCGAAGATTTTCAGGCATAAGGGAGAAAGAGCTTTTGATTAAGACTGCAGAATGAATAGAAAACGCAAGTGGCTATTTTTGTCTGTCCATATTATGTTAGTATTAGTCTATTTATTATTAGGGTTTCTCTCTCTCTCCCCTTTAGATTTTGTAAATCAAAAAAATCTTTTTAAAATAGTTGCAAACTCTCAAATATTAGTAGTAGTTGATATTTGCTAATCCATTTTAGTAGCAAGATAAAATAAGAAAATTACATATAACTGCTGGTCATTAGTTTTGACTGTAAATCCTTATAAAAACGCTAAACAGGTGCAGGCAGATAAAGCTATAACAACTGATTTAACTGTCACGCTTGTTGGCATCTTTCCTCTGTCTTTCCTCAACAACATACCTTCATACAAAGGCCAGTTTATGACAACTAGTACTCCCGTTATCACAAATTGCAAGCCCATTCCCTTAAACTCTCCACCGTCTCCGTAAGCAAGTCTCATAACAGCTGCGGCGAAGCAGAAGAGATTGAGCATACCCAGTGTTCCTAGGAGGATAAACATGGGAGACTCCACTCCAAACTCCATGACCTCTTCCTTGTATCTCTCTGCTGCTTCTTCTTCTGCTACTTTCGCTGTGATCACAAACGCAGACTCCGAAACCCCGAGTAACTTCTTAAACGTGTCCATGAATCCGAAAAGAAATGAGCTTGTTCTTCTATAAAGCCACATCCTTTGCTCGTTCCACCATCCTAGGAACGTCCCTCCGCACCACAAGAACTCGGCTAAGCTATAGGCGTTAGCTGCGACAGTGACATATCCAAACGGGATAAACCACAAACTCGAGACCTGGATTCCAACACCAGATTGGTTTAACCCTGAGAGATTCCGAGCTTATACCAAAACCTTTGGAAACAGAGGAAAGCTATTTACCTTTGGAAACAGAGGAATGCCTTTGAAGAGGCAGAGAGAAGTCAAAACAGTGTAAATAAGAACAGGTACTGAAGATGGAGCCCAAAGGCAATAGCAACAGTAACCAAGTATCAGTCCTAAACTGATCTTTCCTTTTCCATACCAAACCGGACTATACTCCGAAAGCAGAATCTGAAAGTCTCCCTCTGACCATCTCCTCTGCTGCACAAGCATTTGATGCAAATTAGTCGGCGCTACCCCGAGAAAAGCTTTCTTTCCCGGGTTCAAGTACGCTGATTTCCATCCGCGACACTGAATCGCCAAACCAGTTATTACATCCTCTACCGGGCAACCGTATTTAACACCCATCTGCCATGGAAACAAACAACCAAGATTTACTTGATTTTGAATGAAAGGGATAGCGAACGTTTAACTTAAGTACAAGAAACAGTCATAAGTATTAATCAGTTCCTTACCTCCTTTCCCCATTGACTGTTTTCCTCATAAGTGCAGCCCGCGAGAGCCTTCACCATCTCAGGCTCTTGAATTCTCTCAGATTCTTCTTCTTCCTCTCCATACATTCTTCCACAGATCACATCTCTTCTGTGAAAGCAGCCAGTTCCGATATACAACGAACCACCATTTCCATCCAGTCCAAGAAAGTCCACCTTTTTTTTTAGTTAGTATTCACATCCCAAAACATAAACGTTAGTTAATAGTAGAATCAATAATTCACAAAATCCAGAATCTATCTTATGTTTTGTGCGGTCTCTCTCTATAACTTACATCTGCTATTGCTCGCATCATGCTTCCATACAAATCATTCCTTGTAACGTTGTCAAAACACTGCGGAAACTGCACGAAAGCAATCTCTTTTCCCTCTTTCTCATCAAGGAGGATGCAGAGTGCGTCGCGTGCTGACTTTGAGTTGTTTGCATACATATCACAGTCCAAGTTTAGTATGATTCTCCCACCGGTGATTTTCGAAGAAACCCTCAGCTGTCGGAGAATAAAACTGAAGTCAGATAAAAAGATCAGAATGCCTTGTGAAGCAAGAAACCATTACATACCAATGCGTTCATCGCTCCAGCCTTGAAGTTATGATGATGTTGAGGTCTCTTCTCTCTCGATAGATAAACCAACGTTGGTATTGCTATTTCACTCTCTTCTCTTCCGTCTACCAAAATCTGACATTTAATGAATCCAATTGATTCAGTTTAATCGATTGTTGTAATAACAGAACATAACTAAAAAGATTACTTACTTGAAGAATGGTTCCATGGTTTCTTCGAGTAGCGTCAGCATCCCACTGCGAAAACCCGTCACCGTACTTCAACCGCGCCTCCTCCGGTACTCGTCCGAGTCTAGCCGCCGTTTCAATCCTCACCGCCATTTCTTTATACATTTTAGCCACCTCCTCAGCCGTAGAATCAAGACCATTTGCCTTGGAAGACAAGTAAGCGGCCGGAGATGTTGGCTCGACGTTGAATCTCTTGCAGAAGGGAACCCAAGTTTTAGCAAACTCAGCCGCCTCCGTGAGAGCATAGAACGTGAGCTCAGAACCACCGTCATCTGAGAGATACACGGCGAGTTTCTCCGCTGGATAGTCAAGAGCCGCGACAGATAAGACTGTGTTGACAACCAACAACGGCGGCTCAATCACCGGATCCGCCGTGCAAACGAAAACGTCAAGCTTCGGAAGATCCTTTCCGTATCTCCGGGAGAGTCTATCGGAGAAGGTGAAACGCCAAACCGGATTCCACCGGGAAGCTTGTGTGACTACCCAATAGAAACCGAACCAAATCTCCACCACCAACATAACCAACGATATCAATCGATCCAAACCGGTCCGGTTCTCACCAATCTCTACTGGTACCGTCATCCTGTAGAACCAAATCAAACAAATACACCCGAAAACCGAGGCTGAGAAAACCCGGTACGCAATCACTCTTCCGGTTTTCCTCCTGGTCTCGAAAAGCGGTTCACCGTCGCCTTCATGAACCGGTCTAACCCGGTCGTCTTCGTTTCCCATGTTTGTTTGGTCTCTCTGCAAGTGGAAAGGTTAAGGCTTTATACAAGACGAACCAAGTAAGATGCGGCTCTAACTTTGGACATTGTCAAGACAAGTGTGGTTCTCGAGACACTCGCTTACGTCATTGGAACTGTCAGCTACTCTGTTTCTATTTCAGTCAAATAATGGCAGGTAGCGTCAACTATTATCTATCTTTGAGAGTGGAATGAATTATTAATATTATCAACAGCGAAAAAGAAAGCTAAAAGCAAATGGTTGGTAATGAAAAGTCAGACAATAACAGAGATCTTGGTTTCACAAATGATATTAAAGTGTCTGCAACAATGATGATATTAAAGAACACTCTATTACTTCAAGAAGAATACAGATTTGCTATCTGTTTTATGTGAAAACATGTGTTAAAAATGGGAAAATATGAAGCAGACAAGAGCAAGAAGAATTTCTATTTGCAAATGGATATAAATAGAAATGAGTTCTATATATATAACAATGATTGTCGATCAAAAGATCCATTCCGAGGAAATTGTGTTTCATCTTTTTTAAAACAAAACTTGCATCGAGCTGATGCAAGCAAATTTAGTAATACAAGTAAAGGTGATTCTTATCTTCTTAAATACTGCTCATCAACCAGAGACAAATTCCGGTTTTTGTTGATTTTTTTATGGGCAACTCGTGTTATAAGGCGTGAAGAAATCAGATCTTTTGGTCATTTCCAAGCTTCTGGAACTCAGTTTCTAAGGTATCGAAGATCTTGTTGCCTTCGGTATCTGGCTCAGGGAACTTAACGTGGACTGAACCATGTCTGATCGGTGCACTTGATCCTTTAACCAGAGCCTGTTGCTTGACATAATCGTAAAGGTCTTGGTGGAAAGAGTGATCCAAAGAGAAACAATTGTCCACTGTTCCATTTGTAATATGCCTACCCGATCCAGACCCTTCTCTTCTGCAGAAATGTGGGAGAGACTCATAGTCCATTATCTGCATATCAAAGGGTTAAAACTTTCAGTCTTCTAGCACAAGAGTGACACATCTTCTTCTTCATGGGAAATTGAATTGCTTACCTTTAGCAACTCATCTTTCCCGCAACCTTTGAGCACTTGAATCTTCTTCTTTGTTCTCTCTTGCAACAGAGGCTTTATGGTTTTCCAACAAGCAGAGAATATGTACGGGACATTGACAACATAATATGTCTCTGTCTTCTCTGGATAGTTTAAATCATCTATTGTGGTTATAGCAGTCATTAACTGCCCAAAGAAATGAAAAAAAAACATATGGTGAAAGAAAGAATCAAAGTTATAAATCACACAAGTTAATACAATTAGTACATTATCATTACCTTAATTTGACTTAAAGCTGAAAGCTTTAAACCAGACATATCCAAAATTTTCAAACAAGTGCAAATTGGTCTTCCCTGTTTCTTAGTAGCAGATGGCTACAGAAAAGAAAATCACACCATCAAGATTGGAAAAGAAAAATACGGAGAAAAAGGCTGAACCAAATAGAGTTTTGGTCTTACCAATACTACACGATCCCGGTACTCATTCATTTGAATGTGAGACTGTATATAGTAGTGAACCTGAATGAAATCAGAAACCAATGGTCAAGAGTTTCAACTTCACATCAAGTCTTTGAGTGGAAGATGAATAGAGATGCTTACGGAGGCCTTGTCATATGTGCTAAGCCCCACACCAATGGCAATGACAGGGAGACCCTAAAAGTCAAATGATTTAACAAATTGTTTAGTTGGATCAAACATGTTTTGATGCTTTTAAAATTCAAAAAGTTAAGAAAGGGACACAAAATAGTGATACCTCTTTAGAGTACCCAGAAACACCGACAAGTTGTGTGTCTCTGATTGCTCTATACAGGTCAACAGGAACAATGGGTTTCTGCAAAAATCAATGATCAGATGAGATCAAAGGGTCACAGAAAAACGCAGCAGCTGAAGAAAACTCACTGCTAGTATCTTGTCAATCTCGTTTTGAGTCCTCCATTCTAAACACTCGAGCAACTGTAACACTTGCAGTCATTAGTTTTAAACCCCCTAAAAAGCTAATACAAGAAACAAAGCATCAAAGACAATCTAAAATAGGTGAAAGCAAACAGATTTAAACCATTTTATGAGCTTTCTGAACATTCCAATCCCTCGCTTTAAGAAAGCGTGACAAAGTCTCTGTCGTATACCCTTGATGAATGTTCTGCAGCATAACAACAAGCATTTGTAAATCCACCATTTTCATATCAAACAATGGTCTTTTCTCAAGCCAAGAACAACAATAAGATCCAAGTTACTTGTGACACCCAACTGACAACTCCAGATCAGTCAATGTTCTAAACTAAAACTCCACAGATCCATCATCACTGATTCAAAACGAATCTAAGAGAGACCTAGAGCCGGAGATCCAGATCAGTGGAACCAATATCCATACCGATCAAATACACAGGACAACGAAAAAAAGGGGATTTTTTTTTCCGGTTATATATAGAAAACCAATCCCCACAAAAACAAATCGAAAGTAGCAATCTTTGGTTCAATAAGCTAAAGACTTGAAGTTTGAATCTTTCAAAGCATCTAAAAAGCAAGTAAATTTACTAACCCGATACGACTCTCTCAGTGAATCATCAACTGTCAATACCAAAAAGTAAAATTAGCTCAAAATTTGAGATTTCGTCACCGATCTTCAAACAAAGCAAAGCTTAAAACTTGATTAAAAAAAAAAACACACCGTCTTCCATTAAAGCACGTAATTGCTTCACTGCTTCTTCATTAGTGATGCTCATTTTCTCTCTCTAGAGATCTCAGCTCAGATTTGAAGAAAACAAAAATCTGAAATTGTGGGCAAAAGTTTCTGCGCAAAATCTGAAGCGGGTAAATCTCTGATCTCACGAACAATAGTGCCTCCGAGGAGAAGTGAGAGAAAGAAAAAAAAGAAAAAGGTGCACTTTTTATGGAGCCAAGCAATAAACTTTTAGAGAGAGAAACCAAGTTCTTCTCTCTTCTTCTCCAGGACCAAAGAAGACTTAGAAAAATATCATATGACGATATTTCTTTCCTTGTAATAAAATGGAACCAGAGATAGAGATTTCCGATTTAACACATTTTCGTATTTCGAACATGCTTCTTTTCCCATTTTCGTAGTAAATTTAATCTTTTATTTATTAGGAAATCTCCACCATTTAAGAAATGTCAAGCAAGAATCTAATTTTAGCAGTATTTTCACTTTATTTTCCTCTCAAACTTTACTACTTTCTTTGCATGCTTAAACACTATAGGTAACTCCATAAATATTTTACAGATGAATTTTAATTAGAGCACATGCTCCTAAATAATAATATGCCATAATGGAATCTAATTCTTTCGATTTTTGATTGTTGATATTCCAATACATACGCACTACCAAAACTAAACTAAGACATGTCCACAATAAATGTATGTTAAATACTATTTTTTGTTAAGAAAAAATATTTTAATAGTTGGCTTGAAATTGCAACCAAAATAAAAAAAGAGAATAAGATGCATGCTCCTCCATACAATGTTTTTGATAAACAAAACTCGCTATTTTAAAATTATATTAAATGAGATTCAAACAAATAAAGAAACATAAATGTCCATCGTCATGTGTTAGTTCTCTTATTCAATCACCAAAATTAAGACCCCATGATGAGTCATATGACACATGCATCGTGTAACCATCTTCCTTACTTACTTTTTCTCTATTTATTATTTTTTTTCTGTCGGTTTTTTATTTATTTTTAATTTTAAATTTAATAAATAAAAAATATGATTTAGTTATCCTCGGGACATATTCCCATATTCCGTTTTGATGAAAAACAATGCTTCTAAAATTGGACCTAACATGTGGCACAAGTAAAATCTCTTAGTTGGCAAGAAGACAAATATCGTCATACCCTTCAAGAAATAAGTTTCTCCTAATGTTTCTATTAAACATGATCTTTTGATGCCCCCCTCAAAAAACTGAATTTGATACAAAGAATTAAATTCAATTCAAGTGGTTAATTATTATCTATACAAACAATATAAGCAGAAGCAGAAATACAACTTTTGTAACTGTCTAAAACTATTTGAAGGTCAACTTCATGAAACTTACATTTGATGTTTTAACCTGTTTTTTTTCTTCTAAATAGTTCCAATTAATGTAAATATTTATAATTTTTTCATAGTCATTTTTTGAAAGAGAGATTGAGATGGTACTTGAATACATCCTGTTGGACCTGGATTTCGCACCTACCAAATCCATCAGTAAAATATTAATGGGCTTTCATCACAACAGACCTAGCCCAATATGAGATAAGAGTAGCGACGCGACCTGATAAGAATCCTTGACTAGGTCAGCTATATTCTCGGAACGGACCTGATTTCTAGGGATGGCAGCACGGATCTCGGAGGTGGTTGACCTAATTTGAAGACCTATATATAGAGGAGAAGGACGACTTGGAGAGGGCATCGCCTACCTACCATTAGACCTAATACTTACAAACATTTGTATTCTCATATTTTTCACTTGTAAACGGTTGATTCACGTCAATAAATCCTTTCGTTCCTTAGCAATTCAACTCGCAAAGCATCATTGAAAATCTAGCCCTCTTTGCCCATAAATCTAAGAACAAATTTATAGTGTGGATTTTATCACCCACACATCCCTTGCACATGTTAAGCGATGGTCTTCATAATATATATAAATTCGCTACAAGATGATAGATCCGATGGTTCGATCATACCAGCTCCCTTTATGCTCAACACTGAAGCACCTAAGAACTCTCAACAAAACCTAATTAATTATTAGCCTTAAACTCTAATTATCAAGTTTTTGTAATAAATCAGTGTCGTTACTTGGCTTGTTATGACTATCAATAATATTGTCAACAATGTGAAGAGGAAGCATGGGATTGTTCTCTTAAATCAGCCATGAAATAGACAATGACGATGAAGTATATTGGGTAGGTAAGTAGATAACATGTTCTTATCATATCACAGTGAGGTACATATGTACTACACACTTAATCTATACATATTTATATCATCTTTCAATAGATATATAGATCTTCTCAAAGGTGAATACATAGACCACTCCAAACATTGATGAAGATGTCCAGAATATACAGATGTAAAACATCGGTTGGGTTTGAAGATGCTCTTCTGCTTCGATGTTTCTATGGTTCTCGTCCTTCTCTCTCGGCTCCAACTCTGTTTTATACCTTAAATAGTTCTAGGTACTGTAAAACATATATATATACATAGGAATAGGATTCATCAGTACTTGATAATAACTTCTAAGAAATATCATACAATACCTAAGTTGGAGAGTGTTTAATCCTTGGTTTTCATTTAAAAGCTTGATTAAGTGACTATTCCTTCCACATTATCCATCAATCTACCTCTAATTATATTCTTTTAATTTGATGCAAGAAATCAATCCGAATCTAGGGCTGTGTTATATTAGTGAATCAAAGTAGATCAACTATAATAATCCTTTGTTAATTTGGTAGACCATAAGACCACCCACAGTGGGGTAATTTCTCGTTGGGTGTAAGTAATAAAATATAAGAAAATAAAGGAATAGTTAGTTTAGAGACGTAAGTCGAGTGTTATCCCACACCCGGGTGTGAGAGCCACGTGGGAGGATATTGTTGGTTAGGAATTTTTGACGGAGAGAATCTCATAAAAGTAGGCGCCTCTACCAATAATCAAGTCTATAACTTTATTTCTAAACACAAACTCTTAGCCTTTTTTAATTATAAAACCGTCTTAACATATATCCCTTCGGTTATGCCTTTGCTAATGCTCTAATAATAAGCTTTAAATGCCATTATATGAATATTTAAACGTTATTTATCAATTCCAAAACGACGTCGTGTTGAGTATAGTTGACGAAACGGTTGTTTTCTTCTTCCATTGTTGTTGTCTTTGAAGAGAAGGAAGAAGAAGAAAGGCTTGAGAGGAAAAGATGGAGGAGGAATCGCGAGATATACTGATGTCGACGCTGATGGAATCTGGGGTTTTGATCCCCGGAGATTTCTCTTCCGTTGGTGAGTTTACTCCGGAGGCGTTAGTATCGATCTCTGCTCAGTTGCTAAATCTCATTGACCCATCAGCCTCGTTTTCCGATGAGCTCCCTGATTCTCTCCCCGAGAGGTTTGGGATCTGCACCGATATTGCTCAGTCTGTGAAGAATCTAGGCTACATCAACGACATTAGTTATTATAAGGTATCATTTCATAATCCCTCTTTAGATCGCAACCAGAATCGAATTTTGATTGGTTGATAGAGCGAATCGTCTTGGGTTAAAGGAAACAACTTTAGGGTTTTATATTTCTAAAGGAACATGCTTTTATGTGATAGTCTTTTGGTCATGGTTAGAATCTTCTGAAGTTTACTTTTAACGTTTTGGCTGTGTGGCTTTTCTTATTTGTGTTGAAATCATGCTGAAACAGATTGTATGTGTTGCTTGCGGCAGTTTCTGCATCCATCTGAAGATGACTCGTATAGGTTGGTTAGGTTTCTGGTTGAGAGGCTTTCGGAGAAAAATGAAGGAAGAAAAACTTCTACGGCTGGTGATATAGCTAGCAGGCCAAAGATGGAGAATTTCAGAGGTATTTCAGAAGACATGATGGTGAATGAGGACAAGGATGAGACTTTTGATATGCATTTACAGAAGGTTGAAGCTGTCTTAAAAGATCTTACAATGGCTAGTGAAATCTCTCATTCACCTGACTCTCTTGCAAAAAATACATCAACCAATGGTTCCACCATTGTTGACTTCTTCTCCCGAAAGACGGATGATCCTGTTACTGATGTACCATCGGATCTTTCTTTGAGAGAGTCATCTGGATATGAAGAAAATCCTTATGAAGACCCGTCTGAGGTACTGTTTCTTCAGCTTATTGTGACCTTATCTCCTTCCTCTGTACATGAGTGAGCATCAGAGCATATGTTTGAACATCTACATAGGAATAGTGATTTCAAACCAGTTTTATGAATGTTGAAGGCTTATAACCTTTATCATTTTTTATGCTGTGTAGACAAATTATGAGACTGTTGAGTTACAGAATCAACATAATGTACTCTTGGTGGAACTGGAATCTGGATCTTCAGAGCTATGCAGTCTTGAAAGCGAGCTGGAGTTGTTGAAGATGGCTACGGAGAGGTTATTGGATGACAAACAGCCGGGTGGGTCATATCTTGAACAGCTTAATCAACAACTAGTGGTCAAAAGGTGTAATATCATGGATCTTAAAAAGCAATGGTATGAACAGTATTCTATTATTTCAAGTTGAAAGCATCCATGCATTCAGTTTCATGGACAACCACAGGACATGATGGGAGAATTATGTATAGCATGATTAATAAGTATATCATGTCTTCCTTCAGGGACGATGTAAGGCTGACTTTGGAAACTAAAAAGCTACTTCTCTTGGACCAACTTCATGTGGAGGAGCCAGAGGCTAAAGAGAAATTCCATCAGTTGAGAAAGACTGAACTGGATTTACAATCTCTCTCATCAGAAATTCAAAAGAGGTAACAAGAAACTCTTACTACATGGCTCTTCACTATCTGTGATTTTGACTTTGTGCTTTTGATTGCTCTTCATTTTAATGTGTTAATCTTTTCTCGACAGGGAAGATGAACGGTGTAACCTATACAATGAACTTGAGAGGCAGCCAAAAGCAGCGCCTCGGAAATCATATATCCATGGGATTAAAGAAATAACAAAAAATAGCCGTAAACTGGACACTGATATTCAGAGGATTTCAGGGGAGACCAGGGAGCTACAATTAGAGAGTAACTCAATCCAAGAACGCCTGCACCGATCATATGCTGTTGTGGATGAAATGGTTACAAGGTATGAGCTTTTGGTCTGACATATTTGAATGGTCTGGTCAGATATATACCAAAAGAAAAGATGCCATGTCGCGTGGCTTTAGAGAACATGTATACCCTTTTATAATGTGGTGATGAAGACGGTTTTTCTTTTTCCGCAGAGAAGTGAAAAAAGACCCAGCAGTACGACAGGTATACAAGCTACTGACCAGTATCCACAGTATCTTCGAGCAAATCTCTGAGAAAATCCTCATGACTGATCGGTTTAGAAGAGAAACAGTCGATTATGAAAAGAAGTTGGGGTCCATCACAGCGCGAGGCATGAGTTTGGAGAAATTACAAGCCGATCTGGATGCCATCAGGAAAGAAAACGAAAGCCTTAAGAAATAACTAATTCATGTGGCCGAGGAAGAAGGATTAAATTATACATTTTTGTAGAGTCTTGAGACTATCAGAGTTAAAGTGCTTTCAAATCTGACGTGTTTGTTTATAGGAATGGGTAATCTTTTTTTCAGATATATGGAAAAATTCTTTCTAATCTGATCTCGACTACTAAAGAGAGCCTAAAGCTGATTCAGCTAAGAAACATCAGATATATGTTTCTCAAAAGCTCGGGAATGAATATAGAGAGGCAGCATCAGCTTCAAAAAAACGTTTCCATAAGGATTTTCCCAGACATTCTTTATGTATTTTATGTAAGGTCTCACAACAAAAAATAAGGTAAAAGGTTTGCTACTTTGATGCACATCTTCTTCCCTCTTGTAATTGTCAACCTAAATTTCTCTGGGGATGATGGTTCCTAAGTATTTACACCCAAAAATCCAGACTTCAACATCTCTTTTACGCGTTTGATGTGTATCTTTATAGCTGCTTCCCCTTGAACCTAATAGTTGTTAACCCAATTCGTTAGGGTAGCTTGAGGTTGCTGATAAGCAATGTGCGGGTGTCCTATGGGTTCACCCATAGCTGTTGTTGTGTGTGGCGGTGGCGGTGGCGGTAAGGTCTGATATGTAGTTGAAGCAGCAGCCATGGGCTGTGTTGGTTGGTGTATTCCCATGAGGCCACCATGACCAGCCTGCACGACCGGAAAACCAAGTGGCTGACCTTGGAATGCTAGGTTGTACATTGGATTCACCTGCAGGTTGCCAAATCCCTGCCCAATCCATGTAGCTGCACTTTCAGTCTGCAACAACAACATCATATACACCACTGTCAAACTATATAGTCTACACATATATCATTGCAAGGATAGAACAGTAAAAGACTGACCTGGGGAGATGCCTTTTCTTCACTATGGATAGAATTGAAGGCGGTTGCAGATGGGATGCTGCTAGCAACCATGGGAGAAGTGTGTAGGTAAGGGTTTGTGGTGGGAGGGTTTTCAGTGTTGCCTACTGGGTTTACATGAGAAGGTGCTGTTAGAGCAGCTCCTGGTGGAAAAAAAGACTGCTGAGGGATCCCGTTTGGGCTCAAGAACTGGTGAATGTATGGCGGTGGCATATAATACGGTGAGTAATAGGGACCGTAAGGGAAGAAATTGGGTGGATATTGCTGCCTAAGAAAATTTGCCTGTTGAGAGGCTGCTGCTATGGAGCTCTGATCTGGAGGATATGATACTAATGAAATAGCTGGAGAGTTGGAATTTCCGGACTGTAATAAGAGAAAAGGAGTTATCAAAAAAGTTTAGAATAGATAATCGGATCGTTTTGATTACATATACTGTGACAATATATGCCACGTACCTGAGTCTCTGCTGCTTCTGTGTTAACGGGTTGGCCTATTGCTGACAACGAGGGGACAAGACCAAACACACTGAGTGGAGCAATCTGATGAGTTTCTGTGTTTGATAAAGCTTCCTCCTTCAGTACTTCTTTTACACGTGGGACAATGTGATCCGAGTGCACCACTGGCTCAGCTCCAGGTGCAGAATTTGATATCCCATAATCCTTATCTTCAGAAAATGTTGATGCTTCTTCTCTGCACAAGAAGTTATGGTAATGAGAAGGAGACTGAAACCAGACAATAACTAAAGCAGACAATATGTAAAGTGAAAGCATCTCAGTCACGAACCTAGCAGAAGCAACCCCAGGAATACCATTGGTAGTGGGAGAAGGTTCCCTCTCATCATCCCCTGTCCCATCAGACGATTCAAAATTTGAGTCATCTCCACCACTAGCACCATTGTTAGAAGACACCTCTTTCACAAAGTTGGAATCAAAACTGCCAAACGTCAGACCATTTTGCAGTCCTTTGGCAACCTGAAGGTGGAAAGGGAATGTTACGTGTGACTGTTGGCTAACATCTGACTTAGGAAGCGATTGAGTTTTGCCTTGTTTGGACACAGTCTCGATTTCTGTGGCTGTTACCAAAAGAAACCAGAAGCTGAATCAAATACCAGACCATACAGTTTCTGCACCATTACTGACTTAAATAGACAGCATAATGAACTGAAAACTACTACAATGAAGAATTTGAGGCATACTAAATATTCATGAAAAAAGTCAATATACCTTGATCTGACTGGCTACTGCAACGTGAAGCAGAAATCAAAGAAGGATCATCTTGAACTTTATCATGATTGCTGACCTCACTCGGAAGACTAGTAGGACCAGAAACCCTGTAAAAAGTATCATATAATACTTAGGAACCTAATAGAAGAAAAATGAAAAGCATCCATAATCTTAGAGACACAGAAGAATGATATGAAAACATACTTTATTTCATTAGGTACTGTGATGTTATTGTTGCTTGCTTTGTTAGTGGCAGGCAGAGCAGTTCTAGAACCTCTTGTTACATGATTAGCTCCATTTTCCCTCTTAAAAGATGCGTTTCTTCCATTACCTGCATGCATCCGTATGTAAACAAAGAGCTTAATACAGGAAAGAGCATGGAAATGGTTACTTCAAAGGTACCAAGAACACAAACTACCTTGATAAGAGTTACTTGAAGCAAAGTTCCTCCGACCACTTCTGCCACTTGCTTGTGTAACTGGCACTATATTCTGCAGAAAGTAATCATATGAGATAATGAAAGCTACAGAAACAAAACTGCAGATCATAACAAACAAAAAAAGAACACTTGCCTCCTTCTTTTTTTCCCTTTTACTTCTCACCTCATGAAATGTATCTGCAATATTTCAAAATTTACATTGCATACAAGAAAATGGCGCATAAAGAACAAAATTGCTACAAAGCCAAACTAAAATACAAGAAATTTCACGAGACTGACCCAAAATCTGAATGTTACGACATGTAGACACATAAGACAAATCGTACCTACTTAATAATCCAGATTCACGCCCAATAGAATCCTTGCAAGGTACGAACTCACCCCAAAAGTAAAATTACCAACAAAAAGAAAAGATCTCTTTCAAATAATTCTACATGGTAAGGAACTATGACTTTAAGCATAAATCTGCATATTCATACCAGGAAACAGAGATTCGATAATCGAATAGCTCCAAGAACCAAAGAGAAACTCAAAACACTAGCGAAACAAAAGCACATCACATGATCTTCCAAAACCCTATCGTACAACCCAAATCTAAGGAGGGCAAAGGAAAATCAAACCCAAGCTCCATTAAAATAAAACAAACCCTAAGTGTAGAGAAAGAGACATATATGATGATTCGTAGTAAGAAAAGTACCTAAGAAGAGGAGCTTTTGGGCGGTCTCATAAGGATCATTGAAGGAATCCTTATAGACAGCGAAGATATCCTCATCGGAGTGCTGCTTGCCGGTAATCTCTCTAATACTCTGAAGGGTTTTGCGGAGACGGTAAGGAATCGAAACCCTAGAGGAGCCGCCATCGGAGGAGCTCATGGTCTTGTTAAGGAAGAGAAGGAGAAGCGGGAGGAGAGAGAAATTGAGAGACGCAATTGAAATTGGAAGCGCGAGCGAGAGGAGAGTCCTCTCTTTGTATATTACTGTATTTATTTACTAACCAAATTAATAATTATGTACCGCTTCACTGTCGGTAACTTTATTCGCTTACGTCACTTCATTTGCTTTCATTTTGCAAAGTAGTTGGGGTTGACTTCAATATCCAACCACTTAGAGAAAGACACGTGGATGATGGACCCAAATACTGTGGATACGTTCCCACTTAGTTTGTTTTCGTATAGGCGTATGTATGTGTGAATCCGATCATAAAAATACGTATAACTGTCGAAACAAAGATATCAAAATTCTCGAGGGAGGCTAGCTCACTCATCATCGGTCCCAAAGTAGCGGTCTCCAAACTCTCCCATACCAGGAACAACTCGGAACTCGTCGTTTAAACCGAGTTCTATCTCTGAAGTCACAATCTTTATCCTTGGGAACTTTTTGCACACCACATTTACTCCTTGAGGTGCCTATACCACGCGAAACCCAACTGCTTAAGCTATATGCAGAGAAGAAAGATGCAAAAGGTTTTTTGGTTTTTCAAACTTACAGATATCAGATTGAGAAATATGATGTTGGATTCAGGCACGCCTTTACTTATAAGCAGTCTTATCGCTTGCACCGCTGAGTTTCCTGCAATTCAAAACATGCCCTTGTTTATCTTCCCATGTCTGGTCTTTTGCTCACCACTAGTACAGAGAACAAATGAGTCAGACCTGTCCCGAGGATTGGGTCTAGCAAAAGCACATGCCTTTCTGAAATGTCTGAGGGTAGCTTCTCATAGATAAGCTGGTGGGTGCCATTTGTTGCCAGAAAGTAAGTATTTAGGGGAAGTGATGAACAGAGAAAGAACACAAAAACAAATTACCAACCTGTTGACCATTGTCGCCTTCTCTATGGATCAGAATCTTCCCAATTTTGATGCCTTTGCAGCATGCTCTTAAAGCGTTCTCCATACTCTCACCGCTGTGTTCAAAGACAGAATCATTATATGGTCTCGACATCAACTATTAATGTTTGAGCTGGTTTCTTTACCTTCTGATAACTGAGACACCACACAGTTTCTTACAGAAGTCCACACCCGAATACACAGATCCTATAATTACAGAAATCCAAAAATGAGTTTATATAATCTTAACTCTGATTAAAGATTCTTGCTTGCAGTTAGATATAATCTTTTTCATTATCTTACCTGTGGGAGTAACCACTTGCTTTTCTGTAAAGGGAAGGTGTCCAAGGCCGTGCTCAACGACCTGGCGAGAGGACATTAGTAAGGTGAACATGGTGAAATAACACAAAACAGAAATCAAATCTTGCACCCACCAAACGTATCAGTCGATCGGAGTAGAAGATAAAATCGTGCTTTGTTGTTTTAGAGTCTCGGATTAGAGTGTGCATCCCACGTATCTGCAACCAACAGCTAAAGGATCAGTCTTTTGGATCACTAAACAAAAAATGATTGATTAGACGAGAGAAGGGGAGTAAGTAAAACCTGAAAAGTTGATTGAATAACATAAAGATTTGGATATATTTTACAGAGATCATGCTGACCGAGCTTCGTGCGGATATGTTGCACAATCAAATCAATAGCCACATGATTATCACCACCTCGGGGAATTATTATATCTGCGTATTTCTTTGTTGGGAGTATAAAATCCTCAAATGCTGGCTTCACAAACTTTGAGTACTGCATACGAGTTTCACAAATCAAACATAAAAGAAGAGTCAAGCGAAAGCTCGACATTGCTGTGACATTGAGGAAATTCTTTGCAAAACAAGAATATAAAGCCACACAAACCTGGTCAAGAACTGTAGCGATATCTCTATCCTTCTCAACAGTATCACGTTTAATCCTTCTCGCTAAACGCACATCGGCATCTGCATAGATAACGCCATGATGTAGAATAAGAAACCAATTTTATTACCATCGTGAGTATATACACTTGTTAATGTGCAAGTCCAGCGTCCCATATATGCTACGGATTTGGCTAGATAAGTATAGCGGGTTCGGTATGAGAAATACCTGCATCTACAAATATCTTCATGTTCATCAAATCTCGCACCCGAGGGTCATGAAAAATTAGTATCCCTTCCAGAATTATAACATCAGAAGGATTCACCTGCAAATATATTCATAAACAGAGAGAGATATTTGTATATGCATTGATGAACAAGTTTGGCGCATATAAATAATATGGAATACACAAGAGAGCTAATCACTTCATCATGAGTTCGATCTTCAGAAATTAGAAGAAAACTTTAAAATGTCAGAACTTGCACACATTTACAAAGTGACTCGTCTACAAGGAAGTAAAGATTCTTACCCTTCTGGGTGGAAAAACATTGTTCTTGTAACTTTTAAAGTCATAGTTGGGAATATCTACTGCTTGCCCTTTTCTTAACTTCTCCATGGAAGACAATAATTGCTCTGTATCGAAAGCGTCTACAAGACAAGGAGCAAGATTCATATTTACAAGCAAGCATATGAGAGCTAATTCGAAAATTTAAAAGGCTTTAAGCGACACAGAACAGTCTACATTAGATTAAAAGACCCATTAGTTTTTCGCTTTTCAGAGACTTACTAACCAGGATGATCAAAATTGTAATCATGAACTCTTACAAGCTCCTCTTCATTTACATTATGGTAGAAAGAATCCTGCAAATAAAGATCAACCTCGGTGCATTATATATATATTTGACTAACAACCACTTGTGATTACTTATCAGAACAAAAATAACGTAATCGAAATTGTTCACATTTTCTGAATAGAAGAATCACCTGATTTACAACAACAGCTCTCTGATCATGCAGTTGCTGCATAATCATATCACAGACAGTTGTTTTCCCGGAAGCTGCACCTCCAGCAACTCCTGAAAACAACATCCTATTAACACTCTCTGATTCAAACCATCTTCGAACCAGTTAAAGATCAAATCCACTGCGTCTCTCACCGATCACAAAAGGTTGCCCATGTTCTTCTTCCTCAACCATTTCCTCTGGTCTAGTTGAAACTAAACCATCCATTTGATGAAATCCTGAGAAATGAACCTTTGAAGATGTCTCTGTTATATCCACAGCCGATTTTGAAGCCATTCCTACAACACAAAGATGCAATCTAAAATCACATGAAAAAAGGCAATAAGGCAAACAAAGCTACCACCTTTCCCGGAACACTTTCCAGTCAAAAAGAATCAAACTTTTTAGTGATATTAGTTAGATTCCACAAGTGCCAATGCCGTGATACCCATTTTCTCAAATCCCAAAACAATCAACCAATCATGATCGACCACCAGATTATAGTAACGCCAAAACATGAAACCGTAACTTTTTTCCCGGGAAAAAGGAAAGAACAAAGAAGAAAACAGAGATCAAAAGGGAAGAAAGCTAGATTTTTTAGATCAATACATGCAAAAGAATCAAAAGAAACCTTTCATCATCATAGAATAATATAAACCGAAACTTCAGAGACAAAAAAAAAAAAAAAAAACGCACGAAAAAAGAAAAAGGGATTGAATAAGCTTCGAGATCACCGATTAGAGAGCTAACACAAGAGCTTCCAAGTTCCAGATAAAGAATCTAAACATATAAAGAGAGAGAGACACGAGCATTGCCTGTTACAATCGATGCACAGACAAAAACTGGAGTTATTAAAAAAAAAAAAATGATAACGTATATATATGTATGTATATGTGGTGAGAGAGAGAGAGAAGAATGAGGGGAGGATGCAGCGGCGGTGACGGGTTTTTGCGGAAACCGGAAAGTGGTTTCTTGGCTTTTACGAAAGTACCCTTCCCACTGAAATGTATTTGGGGGACGTGGTAGTGGCAATTCTCGTAAATTTGAGAGTGCTTGGGGTCCCTAAAGTGGAGAGTCTGATCGAGGATCCACGTCAGATCCGATTCGGATGTGGGACCTACTTTCGAAAGTTGCAGCCAAACGCAGTGCTATCATAATTGGGTGTGGTCGAATGCAATGTTACTATCGAATCTATTTATTTACGTTACCGCAAAAATACTATTACTACTATTTTATATTTATATTTTTAATACCATAAAAAGAAACTATTTTGGATTACGTCTACATTAATTTGACTTTTTCTAATTTTATCCATAATATTTAATTTCATACGATTACCTAACTAAATTTTTAACTTTTTAACCACTAAAAACCACACATTCTTTCAAATTATTCTATTTCTCATACAGATGTGAAGTATGAGTGTGCTTTCTCAAATAAATATTTGCAAAATTTCATTCTAGTTATATAAACTCACTCTAAAATCTAATTGGATCCAAATAAAGTAAAAACACATATCCGGATGTAGTCCACTTTATTGAAGATTTTGGAACGATAAAAATTTGTGAAAGGCACATACCAATCAAGTGACAACAAAAATTGCATGATTTTGATTGATATATATCTGATATGAAAAGCAATGACCACGTTCTTCTATTGTACCTTTGATTTCGAGAGTGATATGCGGCAGGTGAGCGATTGCGATGGTGGCGTTGTCTGCCAAGCAAGAAGGAGAACGTATCGGGTTTTTCTGATTATATGAGTCCATCAAATAAGTATGGGGGTGTTTCCGTGAACTTTTAGATTTTGGATCCTTTTTGTAGTTTTCCTTACAAAAGTGGGGTGGTGTTAGTATATTTACAAATTATTGGACGTCAATGCAATAACGCCTTTAACTGTAGATTCGGGAAGATGATAAAGCGAATAAAACGACGGCGTTTAATGATAATAGTTTCGAGTTTCGACAACAGTGGCAATGTTTTCATCTTCGATTAGGTTAATCGTATCTGGATCCCACCGGACTCAAACCCTAAAATCGCCGTCAAATTCTCCGAGCGTCTTCATCTCCGTACCTAAATTCTTTAACTCTGAGTCAAATTCGACGGGAACCGGTTCAAGATCCGTAGCGATGAGCAGCGTAGAGAAAACCGGGTCGGATTCAGGAGCAATCGAGAATCGAGCGAGCAGGATGAGAGAGAAGCTTCAAAAAGAGCTCGATCCAGTGGAGCTCGTGATCGAAGATGTTTCGTATCAGCACGCAGGTCACGCCGGAATGAAAGGTAGAACCGACGGAGAGACTCATTTCAATGTGAAGATCGTTTCTAAAGGATTCCGAGGAATGAATCTGGTTAAGAGACACAGGTTGGTCTACGATTTGCTCCGGGAAGAGCTCGATACTGGATTACACGCTCTTTCCATCGTCTCCAAGACGCCGTCTGAGTCTCCTCCATAAGGCTAATAGTGCCTGTACTGAATAATGTATCTTCTGTGACATTGATGATGCTTATTGAAGCTTTAAAGCTTAAGTTGTTGTTAAAAAAATCCAACTCTTTTCGATTTAAAGATTGAATTTTTCCCATCAAAGGCTCTGTTTTGGATTTTATTGCAGAACCAAAGTTTTCATATTTACATGCGCTTGAGGTTGTGTGTTGGTGTTTCTGGATTTGTGTGTTCGAAGAAAGACACTTGCTTTTAGTTCAATTCGACTTCTGTGTTTTCTAGAAATCACTCAAAACTTGATTGATCATAGCTTGATGAATTGATCTAGGCTCCATTTAGTTGAAACTCCAATTAATGATCATGTGTTTGAATTTTCAAATGAAGCTCGTTTGTTAGCTTGGAGCCAAAAGGCTTGTTGCTTTTTTTTTTTCATGTTGCAGTCTCTTTCTTCTTCAGATTATTCTCCCATTGTCATCAATGGCGTTGCGTCTTCTAATCGCTAACGCTAGAAACAAAACGCCTTTTCCAATAGTCCATGTCACCTTATTTAGCAACAAATATACTACTACTTTATGGGCTTAAACCAAGTTTAATCAGTGATCACCTTTTGATTTGTGGGTAAAACGAATCGTCGTTTTCATTTTCTGGAGAAGCTAAACCGTCCCTCTTCTATAAGCTTATACATCAACAGACCGGACATAGTTACGTTAGTATATGTCGTAAGATAAAAAAAAAACATCTTCATTCATCACTACATTGGCGATGAGAGAGCTTTCGGAGCTTAACAGAGACGATGATGAACACGTATGGCTCAAACACTATTCATCCAAGCATCAGATACTTCTAGTAGGCGAAGGAGATTTCTCCTTCTCTTGCAGCTTAGCCACTTGCTTCGGCTCTGCTTCCAATATCTACGCTTCCTCTCTCGATTCATTCGGTAACACTTGGTTTGCTCACATTGTGAGAGTTTTTAGGATTTTTGGGTTTCTTTATTGAGCTTCCCGTGAATGATTGACTATTCAAGATTTGCATTGTTCTTCTGTTCCTCTCTGTTTATAGATTATAAACCTGTTGACAAAGGTTGTAGCTTTATGTTTGATTTCCTCAGTTGTTGCATGTCTTTTATGGTAATTGAAGCAGATGATGTTGTTAGAAAGTACAAGAAGGCAAGATCAAATCTTGAAACTTTGAAGAGACTTGGAGCTTTCCTTTTACATGGAGTTGATGCTACCAAACTGCTACTCCATCCTGATCTTCATTATAGAAGATTTGATCGTGTCATCTTCAACTTCCCGCACACCGGTTTCCATGGCAAAGAGTCTGATCCCTGTCAAATACAGTAAGCTCAACATTTTGATGTTTACATAAACTTTCTTTTTGCAGTTGAATGTGTACACCAGCTGCTGCAACTTTGGGAATGTTTTAAAAGATTTATTACATATTCTTTGTCTGTAGGAAGCATAGGGAACTGGTGTTTGGATTCTTCCATGGTGCAAGCCATATGCTAAGAGCTGATGGAGAAGTTCATGTCTCTCACAAAAACAAAGCACCTTTTTGTCATTGGAATCTTGAGGAGCTCGCTAGCAGATGCTTTCTTGTGTTGATTCAACGTGTGGCATTCGAGAAGAGAAATTACCCAGGTTATGAGAATAAGAGGGGAGATGGGTCTAGATGTGACCAACCTTTTCTTTTGGGAGAGTGCAGTACTTTCAAGTTCAAATTCTCTCTCGTGGCTAAAGAGCTTTATGCAGAGAAGGTGAAATGGAGAGAAGAGAAGGAAGGAGAATCAAAGTATCCCCAAGATTTATCAACTCGGGGGATGAATAACAAACATGCCCGTTTTGAAGATAGCTCGATACATCTTGAATTGCCCAGATGCACTGAAAGAACAAAACATCATCGTAAAGAACAATTTCTTGAATGTACTAAACGGTTCAATAGAGTTTCTCTTGAAATGCATAATGGAGAATTACAGAAAGCGGTAACACGGACGAGCTTTCCTCGTGAGTACACTAAAGAATCACAAGAAAGATGCCGCCTACTTTGTCAAGACTTTGCAGTACAAGCTAGTCAAGAACCGTTCCCCAAACGCTCTCTCCGCTTCAGTGGAGTTTCTCATGGAATTCATAACGGGAGAGTACGAAAAATGTTGATACGGAACAGCACTGGAGAATCACGAAAACGAAGGATGAGGAGGCAGAGGAACCTTAAAATCAGGTAAATATATCCTTGATAGTTGCTTGTATTAAGAAATAAACACGCTAAATCGATATTGAATTTTTCTAGGTGACTCATCTCCAAATTAATAACTTCAAGGAGCTTTTGAGGATAACTTTGATGGAAACAAGATGACTGAAACTTGGACTCACTAACAAAGCCTGCATTCTACGTTCTCTTTTGTTTTTTAGGCTGATTACTGACATGGAGCTGAGTTTCATAATTATTTAGGAATTTGCTTGGTTTAACCGCAGCAGCGTTTAGTCACTAAAAGTACCCCATAGCAGCGTTTGTGTTTTCTTGTCACTAACGCTATAAACAGAACGCATTTTCCAATCATTCATTTTAATTTGGTGTAAAATCCCAATCGTCATTTCCAATTTTAGATAGATGAGAAACTCAACCGTCTCTCCTCTTTAATAACGTTACTTTTATTTTTGAAAATTGAAAATGAAAAAAAAAAAAACAAAACTTTCCAAAGTTCCATCCTTTATCGCTCCAATGGCGATGAGAGAGTTCTCGAAGCTTACCAGCAGAGCAAGAGACAATGATGAAGAAGAAGAAGTATGGGTCAAACACTATTCATCGAACCATCAGATACTTCTCGTCGGCGAAGGAGATTTCTCATTCTCTCACAGCTTAGCCACTCTCTTCGGCTCTGCTTCCAATATCTGCGCTTCCTCTCTCGATTCATACGGTAATACTTCATTTGCTTACATTGTCTCAGTTTTTAGGGTTTTGATTTCGTTTTCGCTTGAGTTTTCTATGTCTGAGGTTTTAGGGTTTCATGTCACTATTTTAGCAAGAGATCACTCTTAAAGTTTCAGACTTGTCTATGAGAAGAAGAATCGAAATTAAATCAAATTTCTAGTGTTAACTACTGATTATGGAGCTTCCGGTGAAAGATGTGATTTTTAAGCTTTTGTACTGATTATAAACCTGTTTAAAGGTTGTACCTTTAAGCTTAATTTCCTCTGTCTTTTGTGGTGATTGAAGCAGATGTTGTGGTTAGAAAGTACAAGAAGGCAAGATCAAACATTGAAACTTTGAAGAGACTTGGAGCTTTACTTTTACATGGAGTTGATGCAACCACACTGCATTTTCATCCTGATCTTCGTTATAGAAGATTTGATCGTGTCATCTTCAACTTCCCGCACGCCGGTTTCCACGGCAGAGAGTCTGATTCCTCTCTTATACGGTAAGTTCAACTATTTGGCGTTACAGATACGGTCTTCTTGCAGTTAAGTGTGTAGACTTTGTAGATGTTCTTTGTCTTTCTGTTTTGTTGTAGGAAGCATAGAGAACTGGTGTTTGGATTTTTCAATGGTGCAAGCCGTTTGCTAAGAGCCGATGGGGAAGTTCATGTTTCTCACAAGAACAAAGCACCTTTTTGTAACTGGAATCTCGAGGAGCTCGCTAGCAGATGCTTTCTTGTGTTGATTCAACGTGTGGCGTTCGAGAAGAGCAATTACCCTGGTTATGAGAATAAGAGAGGAGATGGGTCTAGATGTGACAAGCCTTTCCTTTTGGGAGAGTGCAGTACTTTCAAGTTCAGATTCTCTCGTGTCGCTAAGGAACTTTATGCAGAGAAGGTAAAATCGAGAGAAGTGAAGGAACAAGAATCAAGTTGTGCCCAAGCTTTTATAAATACACAGCCAGTGTCATTTGATCATGGGTATCCCCTCCAAACAGAATTTCACGGTGTTAGCCATAGACCAGTTTCGTTTGATCTCAGCTATCGTGGGGACTATAACCTTAGGCAAGTCCAAGATCCTTTGGTTCAATCAAGAGAAAGGACATCTCCATTGGATCTTTGTTATTACCAAGAACGTAGACGTTTACAGTTCGAAAATGCCCGGTTTCAAGAAAACTCAATAGAGCTGGACAAGTTCAGATACACTGAAAGAAGCAGCCTGCTTTGTCAAGATTTTCCTTTTCAAACAAATCATCATCGTCAAGAACAGTTCCATGAAAGCTCTAACCACAGCGATTCGCCGGATATTTACAACGAGATAATACAAAGAATGTTAACACGGACGAGGTTTCCTCATCTGTACGTTGGAGAATCGCCAGAAAGACGCCACCTGCTTTGTCAAGACTTTCCAGTTCAAGCTAGTCAAGAACCACCATTTGGATGCTCTAACCGCTTTAGTGGAGTTTCTCATGAAATTTATAACTGGGAAGTACCAAGAATGTTAACAAGTACCAGATTTCCTCACCCGTACACTGGAGAATCACAAGAACGAAGGCAGAGCAACCTCAACACTCATCCTCCACAGCACTGGTAAATTGTTATTCTTTGCGTATATTATGAAATCAAAAGCTAAATTGATATGAAAATCTCCAGGTAACTTATCTTCAAAAGAACTTCTCAGGATACGTTGATGGAAACAAGGTGAGTGAAGCTTGGTGTGACACAAGAATCTCTAAGAATGGCGTAATTTTATGTTCTGTTTCTGTTTCCTAGCATGGCATTAAGTTAACTACTAGCAACTCAAAACTGCAAAGATCTCGATATGGAGATGGTATTTTGGGGTTATTGAAGACTATGCATTAGAAATGGTTGTGACTTGCATTGTCTTATGGAGATAATTATCTTTATCACTGTACTTCTGTAAAATCATTTCTCAGCTAATGACCTTTTTACAGTCTCTGACTCCCTCCTAATGATTCACTCGAAGACATTACCTGGACCAGAAGGTTCGATAACTTTCAAATACGATTTGATAATAAATTATAGCAACTTACGTACAATATGATTTGTATCATTTCTTGTAGACGAATATAAACGTGTAAGCTTAGCCGACAAGGCAACAATCACTATCAGAAACTCTTCAATTTCAACTTCTTATCAAACCAAGTAATTAAATACGTAACTGATAATTGAAAAATGAAAATGTCAAGCAAATTGCACGGAAATTGATAGTGAAAAAATGATAAAATTTCCAGGAATTTGCTTATGACTGAGTCTATAGTCCCGCGTGAATTATACACATATTATCTATCATATAAGTTATAAAATTATGATGATTGAATTTACTACGAAACAGTTTCTATCATTTGAATTTAAATATTTAAACTTCCTTATTAAGTTATTATTATATTTATGATCTTTGTCGTTGTAATAGGTTTATGTAAATTCTATATAAGACTAGTTGATCCTTGTTCGTATATATATACACTCATCGCATTTATATTGAAGCATTTACTCATTTATTACACCTAAAGAGCCTAGCAAATCTTGGTATCTCTCCTCAATCACTCACCGATATCGGAATATTCTCTCCGGTGATTATTTTCCAGCAATATGATGAAGGTACATGCCGTTATTTTCTTCTATGTTCCTTTGTTTAAATTTATCTTCGGTAAAACTAGTTTCTTGCAAAACACGAAACTTATACTCGTTCTTTCTTCAGCAACGGATAGTTCTGAAGATGGATGTAAGTGACAGTGAGAAATCTATAAAAAAAGCTATGAAAATCGCATCTACAAAATCTGGTAAATATCTCTAGTCTAAGACTTATTTTTCAAGTAGCTTGTGAACCAAGTTAGGTCACATGAATCGTTCCATCAACTTTGTCTGTTTACGCGCAGGTGTTAGATCGGTCTCGATTCAGGGGCAGAACGATCAGTTGGTTTTATTGGGAGAAGGGATTGACTTAGCGGAGCTAACACGTGAGCTCAAGAAGAAAGTTTGCCACACGACTATCATCACCGTTCAGGCGGCGCCGCCGCAGCAGCCACCACCTCAGCCTCATCAAATGGGCCAATATAACCAGATGCCTCCGGCGAGAAGATGTACCTGTGAGATACCTAATTCAGGTTTCTGCGGATTATGTAGTTCTATGAGTCAACACAATTATCAGGTGGTACCATCGCCGTATTATCCTCCGGTGCTCTATTGTCGTGATGAGTCCGATGGTTGTAGAATTTTGTGATGTGACGTTTTGAGTGATTTTTGTTGAGTTTTCTTTATTGAAAAAAAATCGTTTTCTTACTTTTCTGATCATATGATATTGTAAAAAGAAAATTGTTAGATTCGTGGTGCTGTAAATGTTTTGTTTTTTGTTTTTGATTAATTGCTGTAAATGTTGTGACAGTGGATTATTTTTATAAGAAAATAACAAAAAAAAAAACTTTGGTTAGTGAGAAAAAGAAGAATATATATTCGTAAGTTTTTCTATTACATTTGTTATCGTAAATGCAAATGTAGAAAGGGTATATATACTTTTGTTTATTTTCAAGTCTTTCATATAGAAATGTAAGTTGTGTTTATTAATTGTAACGTGGTGAAGTCAAGTCCACGAGGCCACGAATATCATATTTAAAAGACTTTGCTAGTTTGCTTTGTTGACATCTGCAACTAGGACTGGATCGTGGATAGAGATGTATTTTTAAGCTCCAAATTAAAAAGTAAATAATAGTTTTAAGTACTAATCATTCCTTAACCTTTCCGTATATTCTCTGCCTCAAACACGGGAAGCGTTACCATGTCACATCGTCAATATATCAAAAGATTCTCATTCTAAGAAAGTCAAGAAAATGAATGAATGTCATAGTAATAATATGCAACTTACTAAAAATAAATAATTACAAGGAAAATGTATTCTAGGTTTGGGTCATGGTTTTTCTCTGTGTTATCTCATGAAAGCTCCGGTGATTGGTCGTGTTGGCTAGGTTTTGGATAGCTTTTGTTTTATCCCATCTTTGTTCTTTGAATCTTTTAAGTTTGTCTCCTTCCACCGCTTCTAGTTTAGACTAATAAATAGGTTTTCTCTCGTGGTCTGTTCGTTGTCTTTTCTTGTAAGGCTAACCTTTCGTGGGGATGCAAAGATATAGATTTAGACTTGTTCGGTAGAAGACTAGGTGGTTAGGATTTAGATTCACAGTCGTTGCTTATTGTGTTCGGGATATTCGTTTTTAGTTGGGTTATTTCTTCGTGGTTTCCGCTATCCTTGGTTCTACTCTTTTTGCGGTTGTAGGTCCTCTAGTATGCGACTTTTGAGCTCTTAGTTCCGCGACTAGTGTTCTCCTCCGACTTTCCCGGTGATTTCGAGAGTTTTACTATTGGCTTTTGTATTCTATCTTGTGTTTTCCGTGTATCGGACTTTAGCTTCCAAGGATTTTTTTGTTTTCCGCCGGCTTTTGTATTTCAAAACCGCATTCCACAAACTTATTCCTCCCTTGTATCCCACCTTTGTATTATATAATGAAAAACCTTTCAAAAAAAAAAAAAAAAAAAAAAAACTGAATTGGGATTTGCTGTGTACTAGTGGTTAATACCTATGTTGCATGGAAACTCCATCCGAGGTGCGTTTCCCGTTTCGGAACAAGTGGTTTTATACTTTTCTCGAACAAGAAGGTATAAACAATGTTATTGTTATGTGCAGATTATCAAATAATACAAAAATGATTTTTTGTAGACAATTTTCAACACAAAATTGCCAGTTCCATCTGCATCATCGGCTTCAATCTGGGTTCAGGACTTGTAAGAGGCCCATTAGCGCCAATAGGCCCATTATCATATTAGCCCAGTCAGTTGAAATCTGCTTTCTGTTTTGCAGTTGCATATTTCCCGCCTGTATTTGAAGCCAATTCCGTTTGTATTAAAGAACTAAAAAAAACAGAATTCTTCCAACAACAACAAAAACCATAAACAAAAAATCGCTTCTTAACTTCACATATTGTTTTGGAGGTTTCATTTTTTCTTAAATATAAATGTCTCCGTTATTAACCAGACAATCCTCAATCCAAAATCCAATCAAAGATGAAGCAATTCGCCGGAGTCCTCTTCCTTTGCATCGTTCTTCTCTCCTTCGTCGCCGGAAATGCTAATTCCGGTATGATATCCGATCTCTGCAAACACTCCGACGATCCAAAACTCTGTCTCTCCAGCATAACTTCACGTCCCGAGTCCGGCGAATTCGCAGGCACCAGCAACCAGATCGAGATCATAGCTATCTCCGCCGCATCAGCCAACGCCTCCGCCACTTCCTCCTATATCAAGAAAAAGCTCAGCAACGAAGATTTGGAGCCGGCGATTGAAGACACGCTTGAGGACTGTCAGAAGAATTACCAAGATGCTGTGGAGCAGCTTGACGACTCGATCTCGGCCATGCTCGCAGACGCACACGCTGATGTCGACGTCTGGCTGAGAGCGGCGATCAGCGCTATCGAGTCTTGTGGAAGCGCGTTGGATTCACGCGCCGGGAACGATGCAGAGCTTTCCCAGAGGAACAAGGTCTTTCTCAAGCTGTGCAAAAACGCTTTGATGATTAACAAAATGTTAACTTGAGAATATTAACCCTCCAAATTTTATGTAATGTATATTATATTATTTGCTTCCTCTTTTTTTTTTTTTTTTGTTAACTGCTTTATGTTTGAATTAAGATGACATTATTAAGTCAAAGGAAACAAAAACGATAAGAACTTCATAGCAAACAAAAATAAACAAGGAGAATTATATTATCAAATAAACTTCACAATGTTGATAAACCGGCCCAACTTAAGACTGTCTCTTGGGTCCAAATAGTGAAAGCCCGTATATAATGAGAAGTTAAACCCCAATTACTGTTCGTATTTTAGTCGATATTTTCCTGTTTAATTCAAATAAAATCAGATCAACTTGGTTTTACTTTTATATACTACTAAATTAAACCGCTACTTTGAACAAGTCTCACGAACATTATGATTAGACGACGTAGAAAATTTTGTAAAAGCAAACCAATGGTGGAAATCCAACAAAAACAAAATCAATGGTGGAAATCTATTGGATTCATAATGCGATTTTTATAGTCAAATTGTTTACCAAACTCCAACTTAATCGTTGACCTACCATAGTCATAACTCATAACGTAACCAAATGTAATATTTTGATTTCTAAAATGCTGTTTTTCTTCAAAATATTTTAAGGTGTTTTAGTCAAGTGTCACATTTTGGTGATAAATCGAGACTGATATTTTTAGGAATCGTACGGTCACGATCAAATGAAGGTTATTTCAGAGTGGTTGCTTGTAAGATTAGTGTTGGATAGATTCCCAGATTCAATGTCCCACAAAATGACAAAACGCAGATACCTTTCTTCTCCACTTGGACCAATTATACATACACACTTGTTCTAAGCTCTAATTATTTCTTTGCCAATAAAATACAGTTTCTTCCTTTTATTCATCCCTCAAAATTATTTCACATTACTATAAACTCTTATAATACCAATTTGGCATTTAAAAGTTAAAACTAAGATCTAAATTTGGAATATTGTATATAAAATTAAAATTTATGTGAATCAATTGGAACAATTTGCACATCAAGATGAGATCATTAGACAAAACTTGCACTCTTGTAAAGGAAGGAATTCAAGATTCCACTAAGACCCCACCATTTGTTTGCCTTTCCTCATAACAATGATAGAATCTTGCTTTCTCTTTTTGAAATATCTATGGAAAACAACTATATTAAATCAACCAACTTGATTATATTAATCATACCCTGGTACTGAAGTAGCTAAGGAGGGTAATGTAATTAGAGAAATTCTTTATACTTTTTTTCAAAAATATTAAAAGAAGTTAATTCTTATGGTTATTTTAGATGATACTAAGATCTTTTACAAAACCCAAAATCAAGTGTTGTATTATTATGCATATTTGATATGTGAAATGTATGGGAGATTCAAGTTGAAGAATCCGATGAAGTTGTAAGTTGAAAAGGGAGTGGGCAAATAAACCAAGTTGACATAGAATGCACGCAATTCTATGACAAAGCTGAAAAGAACACTTCACATTAATCTATGTAAATTATTCTTTGTCTAGCATTATTATAGATTTATGTATAGTTTATTTTAAAGTAGATTTGCCTACCTTGGAAGCACACAAATTCCAATTGCTTCCATCACACTCCTATGCTAACTTTACAATCTATAGAATTAAAGTTAAAACATATAGAAGAAGCACTAGACTTAGATTTGTAGTCAATCAAGATATTTCTAATATAGCCCTCTAGTAAACAATTACACTAACAAATTATTATGCATTCAATAATTAATATCAACAAAAACATGGTCGTTTACTAAGTCTTTATATCATCAGATCAATCTCTAGTGTAGTAAAAAGACAGATAAAGAAAAGGATAATTCATGGGGGATAATTATGTAATTCGACCCATATCCAACCCACGAAATTTTGAAGTATCTATTAATCTCTAAAGTCTGAAATTCGTTTGGAGACAAGTCTAGAGTGTCCAATAAATGAGACACACACGCCCCATACGACTGTCCCAGTTAGAGAAATAAGCCAAGGAACATAACACCAAACACTTTACTCTCTCCCTCACCCAAAAGCAAGCAAACCCTTCAAATGACGTAAAAGCAAAACACTGACTTTGCTTCCCCGTTATTACCAATCCAAGAAAAAAAGCTAATGATTCCTCCATTAAACAACTCCTCTCCTTAAACCCAAATCTCAAACCTTCTCTCTTTGATTCTGTTCGCTTGCACTCACATATGCATATAGGTTTGTATATGGGAGTGTTTGCACAAATCCTCATGAAAAATTCACATCAAACAAAATCTCCCTCTCTCTCTCTCTCTCCTTAACCTAGATCACTCGCATGAATCCAGATACCATTCGATCTAAGATCATAAGAACAAAAGCGTAATAAGAAGTGATTGTGTGGAGAGAAGAAAAGGGTAAAAAAATTTGTAACTTTTATATGGTAAGAAGAGAAGAAAAGAGCAAACCTGGGAAAGTCAGGGGAGAATTTGCTGGAGGGTTTATTGGATTGTATCCATGACATCACTGCGGCTTTGGCTTTTGCTAGGATGACTGATTCTGCTTACAGAGTAGACACCATTTCTAGACTCGCCCAATGGCGAATCCACAATCTTTCTTCCTCCACTTACCGCAAGTCCGATCCTTTCAAGATGGGTCTTTGGAATTGGTATCTCTCTCCACTCTACTTCTTTTTTGTTCACCTGATCAATTAATAATTCTACATGATGATGTTGAATGAGCAAAGTGGACACCTTTTTGTAGTTGATGTGTGCTGGTAATGATAATCAGATAGATTTTGACAATTTGGGTTTTGATTTGAAGGCACTTGTCTGTAGAGAAAAGCAAGATGCTATTAAATGTTAAGTTGTATCCAGAGGTATCCAACCTTACCAGAGAAAACCCACCAGTTGCTTCCTTTGTTCTTCGTGTTGTCTCTTCTGCTGGTGATAGGAAAGTTTTATCTCATCCAGGTAGAGAAGATTTCGCTTGACTCAACAGTTTGATTATGGTTCCTTTTGCACAAAAGATGAATCTTTCAGAATGTTGACACTGTTTCTTTAATGATGACTCAAATGCAGAAGTAATAGATAAGCGGATTAAGACAAACGAAGATTTTATTTGGACTATTGAAGTTCCCTTAACTGGGAAAATCATCATCGACGTCGAGTTTCTTGACTTGAAGGTTCTGTCTCAAGATGTAAGTGTCTGTCTCATCACTTCAGAGATATTACTTATAGATCGACTAGCCTTTTTTTATCTCTTGAATTAACCAGTCTATGCAACTATTGAATCAATATGTTTGGTGAAACTGAAACATGTGTGTTGAATATAAATTACCTGAATTGGCAGAGTGGAGAAATTTACTCTATCTGGGCAGACGGTTCAACAGAGAATCAATCGAAAGGGACAGCGGTCACATCCCTTGGACGTATGTTGACAGAAAGCATTTACACTGACATAATGATCAATGCTTCTGGTGGAAGCATTGGAGCTCACCGAGCTGTTCTTGCTGCCCGCTCACCTGTTTTCCGCAGCATGTTTTTACACGACCTGAAAGAGAAAGAACTATCAGAAATAAACATACTCGACATGCCACTTGATGCTTGCCAAGCTTTTCTCAGTTATATCTACGGCAATATCCAGAACGAAGACTTTCTTATACACAGATTGGCACTCCTCCAAGCTGCTGAAAAATATGATATTGCTGATTTAAAAGACGCGTGCCACTTGAGCCTTCTAGACGACATCGACACAAAGAATGTGCTTGAGAGGCTACAGAATGCTTATCTCTATCAATTACCTGAACTGAAGGCTAGCTGCATGAGGTATCTTGTGAAGTTTGGTAAGATATTTGAAATCTGCGATGAGTTCAACATATTCATGCAATGCGCAGACAGAGATTTGATTTCTGAAGTCTTCCACGAAGTCCTCAGTACCTGGAAAGGATTTTAGAGGAAATCAGAATGGGTATGTGTGCTATTATACAAGAACATTTATAGACTCTAATTTTTTGTGCAAAAGGATTTGTTGGTCTTTATGTACAGATTAAAGTATTGGGGTTTAAACTCAAAACCCAATTGTTGTCCTTGCAAGGATAAAGCAGCAACATGTAAATTCATGATTTGATTGAATGTGAGCTTCTTAGCTTGAACTTTGAATAGTTAATCTATAACACACTATTACATTTATCTTTTAAGTTTTTAAGTAAAATCTACAATCATCTTGCAACAATGTTACTCGGTTCATGATTCTTAGTTCCAAGCTGGGATAAGAGATACTACTAGTATAGATGATGCTTAAGTTAAACTAAGCTAAAGAGCTAAACATATCCTCCCATGATCTGTAATCTTCCCTAGTTTATTATAATGGTGACATATGCTAAAACATCTCATGATACAAGCAAATTCAACATGAATAGTTGAGTAATTTCAGAGAATCAAACAACTAGTTTTCTTAGATAACATGACAAATTCACAACAGAGGAAGATATACATACTTGTACTCTAAGACTAGAATCTGTGCTATATACCAAGGTAAGTACTACATAAACCACCTCTCCGGAAAAAAATCAACATCAGAAAACAGCTCCCTGAAACTGAATCAATGCTACATAAGCCATTTCAGATCGTCTTCAATGGAAACAAAATCAGACTCTTAAGACCTCTAAGATCCGCAACAATACAGGAAGATTTCCAGATAATTTACATAGAAACGAGGAAGTCTCTGGGACAGCAAAATAATCAGAAACAATAATGGAACACGAATCTGAGCCATGAATGGTGTTTATGCGTAGGAAAAATTAAAGTGAAAAAGAAGAAGCAGACAAGTGTAAATCGACTTGGTCTACAGAGAATCACACAAAATAGTTCCAAGGATGCAAGAAGAAACGACGACAACAACAAAATGAAATTTCCGAGCAGAGAAAACTTACTTTCAACAGCCATCACGACCACCATCGCCTTCTTCATCTTCAAATCTGAGAGATTCGCATCATCTCGTCCTCAATTTTGAAGAGAGGGAATATATTGCTCATAAGAAAGATGCTGGAAAAAAATTGGAAGAATTTTTCAATTATTTTTTTTGAAAATTTGATCCCGGCAAACGAATCACGTAAATAATGGGCCTTAATAGCCCAATTAATAACGGCGTCGTTTTCAGAAATAGAACCCTAATTATAAACCCCTCAAATTTTGAAATCAAACTCTTTCTTCTTCTACCTTCTTCTTCTCTAGTTCAGCCGTCGACATCCCCTAGTAATCCAGGTACTCTTTTCTTCCAAAGTTATCTGCTTTTCATAATCCTCCATAATCGTCAATTCTATATAATTTGCAAAAATTTCTATCTCTTGAAGCTGGTTCTGGTCTTTTTCGTCTATGTCAATTTAGTTGATAAATGCACAGATTTGTATCCTTTCTTCTCTTTGTAATTTGTGAAATTCTCTGGTTATGCTATTCGCCTTAATAATTTATAGTAGCGTTAACGAATTTGATTTATGATCTGTCTTATATCAATGAGACTCATACTTTTGGTGTTTTGCTTATGTATGCTCATTTATAGGTTTGAAGTTAGTCATTGAAGTTGTTAAAGTCAATGGCAGAATCTATTCTGATGGAAATTCAATCTGTAACTGAACCCGAGCCAATACCGGGTAAGCCAATCTTTAAGCCATTGAAGGCTCATGAGATGTCTGATGGGAAGGTTCAATTTAGAAAAGTAGCCGTCCCACCAAACCGGTACTCTCCTCTCAAGAAAGCTTGGTTAGATGTCTACACACCGGTCTTTGATCAGATGAAAATCGACATAAGGATGAATCTTAAATCCCGTAAAGTTCCGAGCTGATACACCTGATGTTAGTAATTTTCAGAAGTCTGCGGATTTCGTACACGCTTTCATGCTCGGTTTCGATATCCCCGACGCTATTTCTCTTCTGCGAATGGATGAACTGTATGTGGAGTCTTTTGAGATCAAGGATGTCAAGACGCTTAAAGGCAAGCATCTGTCCCGAGCTATCAGTAGATTGTCTGGGAAAGGAGGAAAGACGAAGTTTGCTATTGAGAATTCTACAAAGACAAGGATTGTGATTGCAGACACAAAGATTCATATCTTAGGAGCTTTCTCTAACAGTAAAGTCGCGAGGGCTTCGTTGTGCGGTCTTATTATGGGATCTCCAGCTGGTAAGGTTTACTCCAAGCTCCGAGCAGTCTCTGTCAGATTAGCAGAACAATGTTGATCCGCGATGAATTAATTTTCTTTGGAGTGATATGGTTTTGATATGTTTGGAGAATGATTTAATTTGTAAGAAATTTTGCATAATCTACAACACAGTAATTGTTTGATGAAGGCATAAAAGAATCAAAACTAAATACAAGAAAATGGAGCCACAGTTCAATGAGATTGATACTAAATATAGATGCCATTCATGGGGAACAAAAGCTTAGCAAACATGATAGTAAACACAATAACCCACCAAAAGGAACGTTGAGAATCAGGCCAATTACCAATCCCATTTGCCTCGAAAGCAGAGAAGAAACCAAAGAATAAGGTGTAAACCGCGTGTTTAGTGTCCATGGGAGAATTGAGCTGGAACATGGAGATCCCAAAGGCAAACATGGAGCATACGTAAATCAAGACGTGGATAGTGGAGTAATAGTAAGGGAAATAAAACATGGCTGCGACAAGAATTACAGAGTATGACGCTCGTGTAGCAGGTAGAGGAGGCTCATTAGCCTTGTAGATGCGAACATTGGTGCAAAAGTGCGATATGAGCAGCAACACCACGTACAAGGTTGTGCCACCGATGGCCGCGTACCATAACGAACTTGATGAAGGACAGAGGCTGTAGAGTGATATGGAGATTGCAAATACGGACAACGTAGCTATTACTTTCCACATCCCCTCAGGAGTCATCATCCTCTTGATAGGAATAGGATGGATAATTAGGGTTTCTATGCACTAACAAAGGTTTTACCCTGGTTTTGAAGACCCTATTTATTTATTTTGTTCGTTCATTTATCACATGACCAAATCATATTCTTCCACATTGTAGCTTTTGTTTTCTATTATAAAAAATTTAATTATAAAAAGTTAGTTAAGGTTTTGTACTAGATTCTATATTTTGGAACTTGAAAAACGCAACTTCCTCAAAATTTATATTTTTCTACATATTTTGAAATAGAAATTTAAACCAAAATTTTGTGTCTACATCTTGATCCTGGTAAAAGATTTCTCTTAAATGCCAATACCCCAAAAAAAATACAAAAACAAAATACTCCTTTTTTTTAATCAATACAGAATATTCTTTTTTTGTTTATCCAAATGTACTCATTTCTGCAACAAAATTTTCAATCCGGCTTGTGGGCTAAGGAAATCACCAAGTCATACTATTGGGCCGATTCAATCGCCAATTCGTACTATTGGGCCGGGCTAAACGCCATCTCCAACTCTCGGGTAGGGCCCAACCGCCATGTTCAGCTCTGTGGTTCGACGGTTTAATCGCCGGAACGGGAATGGTAGTAGGGACGGTATTGCCGATGCTCACAATGACTAGGGCCTGTAAAAGTTGGGAATGTTCTTCATTATCATCCTCCAGTGCGGGCATCTCCAGCGGATCCAACTGGATTTCGTCATAAGGCTGATCTCGCGGTGGCTGCGCGGTGTTCATGATGGCTAGTAGAACTGTAAACGCACAACTGATATAGATACTATCTGGAAGCTCTGGGTAGTCGCGGAGCAATAAGGTGTATCCTGAAGTCAGAAAGCCCTGTGCAATCCCAAGATCGTAGGTGATTTCGTAGACTACACGGATGGACAAGAGATAGAGAAAGAAGAAAATTGTGGCCATGGCAAGGTACAAATCTTTTTCACCCATTAAACTTTTTCCAAGCCAGTGGAAGAAGGTGAAGGAAACCACAGTACTCACGCCCTTAATCAGAGCAAATGCCCAGTCACCCAATTTGGCCATCAATCTTTGACGTGCTCTAACCGTTTGTCTTGGACCAATGATCAAAACCAAGAAAACAAGAAAGATGTCACGATAGTAAGCTCCTTCTTCTTCCACATGTTTCTTCAAAAACTTTGAACATATGAACAAAATCCCTGAAACAGTCAGAAAAACCAAAGACTGATACTTTGGATGGTACGCACGAATCGTTGTGATGAGAGAAGTGGGATTGATGTTCAACGCAAAGGTTTCCCTAGGAAATGCAGGAAGACCGGCCATGGTGTTAAAGAGAAGAGTGAGAAGTTTTCTGGAAGAAGCAAGAAAGAATGGAGCAAGAAAATTCAGAGGAAGAAGAAGAAGATGATCGACGAAGACGGAGGGAAACAGTATTTATACAAATACGCTACCGTTTCTGCTCATTTATTTATGGGCCGTACCAGTTTAATTCGGGTCAGTAAATTGGGTCAGGACACGGGTCAGATTGTACCAGTTTAATTCGGGTCAGTAATTCGAGTTAGTAAATTGGGTCAGGATTCGGGTCGGATCCTTATTCCCGTTCTATAGTAGAAACCTAGATTCCAATTTCTCTGTTTTGATCGACTGGGGAAACAGAGATCCCATTCTAGTGTTGGATATGGCTGGTGGGCAAGTGGAGAAGCGAGTCAAATACAAGAGCTCTGTCAAGGATCCTGGAACTCCTGGATTTCTCAGAATTGTGTGAAGATGATTACAAAGACTTGTCTTTTATGAAGAGTTATATTATCTAGGGATCTGCTTAACTGTTTCTTTTGCAATTCGCAGAGAGAAGGGATGTTGCTCTTCGTCCCTAATGATCCCAAATCTGATTCAAAGCTCAAAGTGCTTACCCAGAACATCAAAAGTATGTACCCCCTTCTCATTAACATTGCTCAAAGTGTTGATAAAAGATCTCCTTGTGATGATAGCAAATTTCACTTTGTTTCTTCAATTTCTCAGGTCAAAAAAATACAAAAGAAGAATCAAATAAACCTCCTTGGCTCAATCTGACCAACAAGCTGGTTTTTTTTTCTCTTGCCATTTTGTGATTTAAGCTATGATAGACTACAGATATGTGATTTTTTGAAGCTATATCACTGTGTTCATTGAGGTTTACTCATCTTTTGATTATAGGGAAAGAGTCATATCTTTGAGTTTGAGAATTATCCTGACATGCATGCTTGCCGTGATTTCATCAGTAAGCTCCATAGTCCCATGGCTTGATTTTATTGATTGGAAAAGTATTTCTCTTGTTTCTGTAACCGTTTTTTTTTACTATAAACAGCTAAGGCCCTTGCTAAATGTGAAGAGGAGCCTAATAAATCCGTTGTCTCGACATCTTCCGAGCAACTCAGTATTAAGGAATTGGAGCTACGCTTCAAGCTTCTGAGAGAAAATAGGTATGTAATTGGAACTTTAACTTGCTTTTATGGGTTTAAAAAGTTTCTGGTTTCATTTTCTCATCAAGTTCCTTCTAATATGAGTAACATACGTGTTATAAAGTGAGCTGCAGAGATTACATAAGCAATTTGTGGAAAGTAAAGTACTGACGGAAGATGAATTCTGGGCTACAAGAAAGGTTGGTTCTTTGTGTTTTCCTTGACTTTTTTTTTTTTAATTTCTTGTTTTCTTCAATGTCTTCGTAGTTACCGACTTTATTCTGGTCGCAGAAATTACTTGGTAAAGATTCCATCAGAAAATCAAAACAGCAGGTCGGGCTTAAGAGCATGATGGTTTCTGGTATCAAACCATCTACTGATGGACGGGTATGGTATAATTATCTCAACTCCTTCCTGGCAGTTATTACAGCCTCTTTAGTTAGCATGTTCATGTGCATGCTTTTGTAGGAAAGAAACAATGCACCTATATGAGCATACACTGATGTGTTCGGCTGACTTACATTCATTGTTGATATATATCATATTATCATGTGACATCTCTGGCTGGTTTACTAACCATTTTCTTCATTTTTCTTCTTTCAGACTAATAGAGTGACGTTTAACTTGACACCTGAGATAATTTTTCAGGTGAGCTCTTTGGTTCACTATGTTTGTCATTAGTGTAAGTGCTTTACAAGTTTTCAGGTCATCATCATAAGTTTATATATTTTATGGGGTTGAAGTTGTAGCTGGCGATATATTGGGTTAGAAATCCATTGATAGGTGTTCAGGATGCTTGAACTTTTAGAGTCCAACGTGAGACTATAAGTGAGGAATAGAAACTTTTTTAACTGCCTTTCAGCCCACCTTCTTTCTTGTGCTTGCGTAGCCAGTAAATCCATTGCAAGTATACTTAAATGTTACTTCATTCATGCTACAGTTCTTTTCTCACTTATGTTTTCTTCATTACGCTTTCAGATTTTTGCTGAGAAGCCGGCTGTTCGGCAGGCATTCATCAATTATGTTCCGAGTAAGGTAACAAAGACTAGCACACCGTGACCGTCTTTGTTTATAGGTTTAATCTTCAAATACGACGAATCTTAACTTGCTTTGGTAGTTATTTTCCTACGCCAGATGACAGAAAAAGACTTCTGGACAAAATACTTTAGAGCAGAATATCTCTACAGCACAAAAAATACCGCAGTAGCTGCAGCAGAAGCTGCTGAGGACGAGGAACTCGCTGTCTTTCTGAAGCCTGATGAGATATTGGCTCGGGAAACTCGTCAAAAGGTTAGGTTTCTTCTATGGTTTAATCATCTTTCATGTTTTTTGTTTGTAAAGAAAATATTTGTGGCATATCCATCTGATTTAAATGTCATTTCTGTAGATTAGACGGGTTGATCCAACTCTTGACATGGAGGCTGACCAGGGAGACGACTACACTCATCTTATGGTAAGAACTGGGATAATACTAACGGTGTTAAGAATCAAACTCGTAACAATGTATGTCACATGTTTTGTTTTCTAGAATTAAATCAAGAAATTTAGTTTCTTTCAGATAATTTGAATAACTACTTTTGCTTATCCACACGACCACTACTTTTATAGTAGCATGTCTGAGAAGGAGCTCAAAACTGATATCTAGAAAACTTTAATTTTAACATTGACATTGTGCTCTTTGTATGCGGTTGATAGGTTATTTACAATATAGTTATCATATCATCTTATATTGTACTTAATTTAACTTTCCCGTAACACAGGACCACGGTATCCAGCGTGATGGCACCATGGATGTTGTTGAACCACAGAATGATCAGTTTAGACGATCACTTTTGCAAGATCTTAATCGTCATGCTGCTGTTGTATTAGAAGGCAGAAGCATTGGTAAACACCTCATTTGAATCTTTTCATGTAAACATGATGTTGGCCTTTTGACTTTAGTTCTTGGTAAATATACAATAATATTCTTTTAAATTGGAAAGCAGATGTTGAGTCAGAAGATACGAGGATTGTTGCAGAGGCTCTCACACGGGTTAAACAAGGTTTGATGTTTCATGTTTACTTTTTTCTGTACTAATCGATGGCCTTTGCCACACTTTATATTCATCTGACCGTATTATCAATCTCTATTTTACCCCTGTTAGTAAGCAAAGCTGATGGTGAAACCACCAAGGACGCTAATCTGGAGAGATTGGAGAGAATGTCCCGGTTGGCAGGAATGGAGGATCTTCAAGCACCACAAAACTTCCCGTTAGCACCGCTTTCTATCAAGGTTTGGCTTTCTGCCAATAGAAGGTTTTCGCAATTGATGATGGATGCTGCGTTGATCCGCTTAACCTTTCTTGTTTGGAATCAGGATCCTCGTGATTACTTTGAATCTCAACAAGGAAACGTCCTCAATGTACCCAGAGGAGCAAAGGGATTGAAGAGAAATGTCCATGAAGCGTATGGATTATTAAAAGAATCCATTTTGGAGATTAGAGCTACAGGATTAAGTGATCCGTTGATTAGGCCTGAAGTTTCCTTTGAGGTGCTATTCTATCCCATACTAAAATGTGTACTGACTAAAGAAACCATAACTTATTGCTTGTTACC